GAAGGTTTGCACATGAGACGGGTGTCTGCAAAATTTGTTCCTCGCTTGCTCGGAGATGACCAAAGAGAAAACCGCGTGAATGTTTGCCGCGACTTGAAGAGTGAAGTGCAGTTTTCCCTAACAGAAAGCAAAATTTCACGCACACTCTTTGTTCCTTCTGGTCGGCCATCTCACTAATCGCCAAAGGGTTGAAACAGGAACGCACACAACAGAGCACCACAGACAAACCACTTAACTCAGACTGACGCCAGCTCACTAACAGTCGCGGGAGATCCCCAGCTAACACCACCTAGCAGCACAACTCGTAACTACAAAGCATGCGCGAGCAACAGGTCGTTTCCGGTTATTTTTGGGTCCCCCTTCGTATATTGCTCCATTGTGAACTCAGAAAATACAGAAATATCTGCATTAATTCACTGAACCAGATTTTTTAAAAACAAGCCTTGCAGTAAGTATAAAACAGTCACCTTGTAGAGAGGTAATTTTATTGTCATGTAGCATATAACTTGGGGAGTTTTCCATCATGTTTTTATTTACTAATGTCTTCTGAAGTTAACATGTTTATATTAAAATTAATGTACCTTTTGGAACTTGACATGAAAGTATCAGGGCTGAATTTAAATGCAGGATACAGCTGTTCTATGAGGGCACATGAATTGTGTCACACATTTTGCTGGTGAGTTTCTGCATTCTGATTGTTACCTGCTTGGCCTTTGTATGGGTTCAGGTGAGTTTCTGTCAATTACAGCTTTCTGTTGGAGGTCTTTGTTCATTCTTCCTTCATCTGCTTATAAAGCTACCTCCAGTTTGTTGTGTAAAATGATTAAACAGATAGAGGGGAGCCCAAACCATAGAGCTATCACTGATCACTTGAATTTAGATGACTGTCAGCCATTTTTACCCACATTTAGTGGTTTAGAAGGTGTATCATACTTCTTACTGGAGTCTTGCATGGTGTGTAAAACTCATATAGAAAGGAACGGTATACAAATTGCACAGTGTGTAGTGATGCATCATGAGCAGCAGAAAACTTAATTTCTTGTTTTTACATTTCAGCCATATTCATGTGAATATATCTAAGTTTATAATGACTTTCTGATTTCAGCTTTCACATCTTTCATTTTAAATGATACAAACTCTGTCCCAAGTGCAAACAATATATATTATATGTCTTTGATCTTGCTCTCTTCTACACTACATGTTTCGGCCTCTAACGGCCATCATCAGGTGTATACTCTTACGTTGCTGCCACACTGAACCCAGTCTAAAGTTTAACATTTTAAAAACACATTGTTCTTTTCCTTGTTATCATCAACATCTACTTTGTTGATATCTGTCTGGTTTATAGATTATTTTGCACATGTTAATTTTGATTTTCCTATAGTAGCACTATAAAATCTTAAATTTTAAAATCCTTTAAAATTTTCTCTAAATTTTAAATTTAAAATTTAAAATTGTTAGGATTACTCGCCCTATGTCTAAAGTGCTGCAGCGGCTTGTTCTTGTTTCCACACTGTACAGGTGTTATTCTGTGTAGTCTTCCTGTGTGCGTGCCGCTGCTTGTCTTTACTACGTGTACTCACGTGAGCACATGTAGTAAATATATATATTTCATATATATTTCCTGAATATATTTCATATCCTTCCTCAAAAGCTTTCCAGCCTCACTTATGTTTGACGACAAAATAAATGTCCAAGTGGAAGATGTTAATTGCCAAGCATTCAAAATGTTATCGAAGCTATGTGCCACTGATTGTGAACGCAGAGAGACACCAGAACTGCTTGCAGTCAAGTGTATTAATTTTCTCACTAAAAGAAATTTATTTTTGCAGTAATAGCACTTGCAGGAGGTCTCATCTCTTCCTCTCATGCCTCTCTCAAAATCACGTGGACCTCATAATTAATACATTTCTGCTTTGTGTGACAGTCCCATAATGGATCATTTGCATAACTGGAAGGAGTTACTTTGTCCTCCTGGTAATTAAGTTTCCAGTCCACCTAACATTAGCTGCTCATCTGCGGCAGATGCAATTAAATACCATGAAGTGCTCCCCGTTGCAGTATATTCAGATTGTCCTGGATTGTAAGTATGTGCACCCATAATGCAACAAGTCAAACAGTTTATAATTCTAGCTTAGTAGTGCCACTGTCAGTGTGTGCAGCCATACCATTCATTATTCATTTATTTAGTTGCAGTTTATTTAGCAGTGTCACCCATAGCTCAGACTAATATGCAGTATGGGATCAAATGATTTTATGATACTGGACTGAGTCTGAAATTATTCATGGACAGAAGGGAAGGGAGGGGCCCATGGTCTGTATTGTCTGCAGCATATGCTTAAAGGGGCTGACAAAAGGTATGAAATACTTTGATTATGAATGTCGCTGTCCCGACTGAGATGTGAACCAGTTGGTTCCACAGTACAAGTCAGGATCAGTATTGCTTGAGCCAGATCACTCGGGGGCAATCATAACTCAGCATAGAGGAGAATTTATACCTGAAGCTCAGTAGTGTTTGTTGTAAGGTGAACATAACATATGGATTGAAGCTTGTGCTGATAATGATGTGATTTAGGTAACAGGCAAGAAGCGGTGGAGCAGGACCACTCACCCTGTCATGCTTGTACCACACATGAACACATGTTTTTTCTTGTTAATTCCAGTTCCTCCCAAACTTAGCCCATTTACTTCAGACATTACACAGCATGTGGGAGAGCGCGCAAGTTTGACGTGCTCGGTGACCAAGGGCGACCTGCCTCTGACCATCGCGTGGCTGAAGGATGGGAGACCGCTAGACCCCTCTCAGAGGGTGTCCATCACTCAAGTGGATCAGTTCAATAGCATTCTCTTGATTGAAAGTTTGTCTCCAGATCACAATGGCAACTATTCCTGTGTGGCACGCAATCTGGCTGCCGAGGTATCCCGCACACAGCAGCTAGTGGTCAATGGTAATCAGCGCTCTGTGTCTGTGCCCTTTTTGATCTATTCTCTTTTTTCTACTCTCATGTTTTTATTCTTCTTCTAATTCTTCCAGTTCCTCCTATTATTGAGCCTTTTTCCTTCCAAGATGGGCTTTCCGAGGGCATGCGCACTCGCACGGTGTGTGGCGTGAGCCGAGGCGATCCGCCACTCGCCATCACTTGGCTCAAAGATGGCGGCACGATCTCCTCTCACCTGGGAGTGAACGTGTCGGCTCTTGACCCCTATTCTAGCCTCCTCAGCATTTCTAGCCTTGCTTCCACCCACTCAGGAGATTATACGTGCGTAGCCTCCAACCCGGCTGCCGAGGTCAGGTACATGGCCAAGCTGCAGGTAAAAGGTAATGTGCTCACTCTTCTTGTATTTGTTTTCCCTTTTTGAATCCAAGAACCGCCCGTTCGCCCGCCGTGTCTTTACGTTTCCGTTGCTTTGGCACATGGGAATGCACCGGTGATTGGAGCCCCAGGTTTGTTTCACAAGGTAACTGTTGCACCTCTTTAGTTGTGTGTTGTCTATTTATTTCTCTGGCCTGTTGTCTGCACGCCTGTCACCACAGTAAGTGTGCTCTTGTTCCACCGTTCAATTTCCTGTTCAGTCTTGTTTTATTATCATTGTTATTCAGTCCCCTCACAAGTAAGAGCTTCTTACGCATTGTACCAAGTAAAGTAGCTACATCCTTTTTCAGTTTTTCGAAATACCGAAAGTCAGTACTGTCGATGTTGTCGTGCAAAAGTAGAGTAAATTGTCAGCTTCCTCTTTAAATTCTGTAACTCATTTACTGTACACTTCCCACACTGTCTGCACTGGTGTGTAGTTGTGATTGGAGTAAGGCAGCACTTCACTCTCCAACTGTTGGATCTATAACATGCCATATCATATACATTAGGCTACTTCTCAGCGAAACCTGTATTTTTTAAACATTTTAAAACCCACTTATGAATGTAATAAAATCATGGAACTGTTTTCATATAACATAATGTTCTTTTTGGCTTACTTGGATATCACGCAGTCCTTTGTCACGTGAGAATCTCAGTTGTTGTGAGGCAGGGCTCTCAGTTCATGCAATATTATGACATATATATTAGCAAAGACTATGTTCATCCAAGCTCTTTAGTCAGCCATATTGTGTCCCTCTCGGTATGTATCTCTTTGCCCTTTGTCCCATCTTTCATTGACAAATGTGTCCCATTTATCCTGCATTCAAAACAGGTATTTCGCAGTGCCCTTCATGAAAGAAACTGTCACTACAACTAATTATCTGTTTGTATGCAATTTATTTGTGGAATCATAACAATTTCTTACACTTCACATTTATTGCAAATTTAATAATTTCTTCAATTCCATCAGAACGTATTTTCTGTTCTTCATTTCTGCCATTTCCTTATTAAATGTGGCCTGTGAAATTCCCATATTTTCTACCAGTGTAATGTGTTTGAGCTTCTCTTCCAATCTCTGGATTTGATTCAAGACATCCAGTTGCTGTCAGCATCCTGCTCCCAGTCCCATGATCCGCTCCATGTATAGGAGCCATTCTGGCCAGACCCTACAGCATTCTGATCTGAACAAATGAAATGTATGCAGTAAGTAGGTGGAGGGAGACTTCGTGTTGCTGATATGTGGCTGTGTCTTGTGCGCAGTTCCGCCCCGCTGGGTGGTGGAGCCTGCTGATGCCAGTGTTGAGAGGAACAAGAACGTAATACTGCACTGCCAGGCACAGGGTGTGCCTCAACCGACTGTCATCTGGAAGAAGGCAACCGGTATGCGTGCAGAAAATGAGATGTGTTAGTATACCGAGCGGGAGGTGGTAGTGGGCTGACCCAGCGTGTTGGTGTTCTGTTCCAGGCAGCAAGTCTGGCGAGTATGAAGAGCTGAGGGAGCGAGTCTATACCAAGCTGTTGAGCAATGGCTCACTGCTCCTGCAGAATGTGAAGGAGGATCGAGAAGGCTTCTATCTCTGCCAAGCAAACAATGGCATTGGCACCGGTATAGGCAAAGTGGTGCAGGTCAAAGTCAACTGTAAGTTTCATATTGCGGAACTGAAGCATTTCAAAGGAATGTAGGTCTCTCACAGAAGAGAATGATTTGAATGAAGCACACATTTCCATGCATCACTCACTCATGGGGCTGAGTCCCTCTTGAGAAGCCGCCAAATCTGCAGCTACTCAAGAACTTCCCAGCATTTTATGGAACATGAAAATTCATTACCGTGTTCACAAGAGCCTTCCACTGGTCCCTATTCTGACCCAGATCAATCCAATCCATCCTATCTCTCTAAGATCCATTTTAATTTTGTTCACCCATCTACGTCTTGGTCTCTTCAGTGGTCTCATTCTTTCTGGCTTTCCCACCAATATCCTGTATGCATTCCTCATCTCCACCATTCGTGCTATATGACCTTCCCATCTCATCATTTTCATTCATGGTTTGTTTAATATTTTGTTGAGTTATGCTTTTTTAAAAGTTGGTTGTTTAACGATGCTGTCAGTATGAAGACTCTGTAACATTGATGACAGAATGATTAGTGAATGTGGAGCAGTCAGTGGAATGAGAATTGGCAGGAGAAACCGAAGTACTCAGAGAGAACCTGCTTCTGTGCCTCTTTGTCCACCATAAATGCCATATGAGCTGACCTGGGATTGAAGTGGGGACGCTGTGGTGGGACGATGGCAAGTAGCCACATGAGCTGACCTGGGACTGAAGTGGGGACGCTGTGGTGGGACGGTGGCAAGTAGCCACATGAGCTGACCTGGGATTGAAGTGGGGACGCTGTGGTGGGACGATGGCAAGTAGCCACATGAGCTGTGGCATGTCCTGTATTGTGCTGCAGCAGAATTGTACTATATGTGTTGTTGCCTCTCTCAGTTACACTGTCTTGTTTGCTTCCACAGAACGTTTCTGTGTCTGTACATGCAGACTGCTCACTTTCCAGTGGAGCCCCATGTCTGTGGATAAACACTGATACTGTGTTAACAAGATCCTTAGAATCAATATCAGTTTCCATTAATCTTGGAGTTTATGTCCCAGAAAAACTGTCAAAGCAGAATATTTCTGTGCTTAATCCATTCACATTCATCAGCATATGTATACATTCTTGTGTTGCGGGCCATGGCCACCACAAGTATGCCTTTTTGCAAATCACAAAGAATTGCAAGGGCTTGTTCTTTGAGCGAGATTCTGATATTAATATAGTTTGGTATATTGTGTAAGCTGCAGGTGACATCTAGAGACCAATGAAAAAACTTTTTAATAACTGGTGTACAGTCATTTTCCCAGAGTATGCTGCCTAGAATGGGGAACAGTGTGGTGGGTTAGTTAGTGTACCGTGTGTTTTGGCATCCATATTGAGGAGTTCTGTGCTGTATTTCAGCGTCGCCCTATTTCTCAGCCCCTTCTCGAGTTGTGACAGTCAAGAAAGGAGACACTGCAATCCTACAGTGTGATGTGAATGGAGACAAGCCCATAAGTGTGGTATGGACGCGGGGTGGAAAACTGGAGCTTACTGCAGCTTCCAACTACAGGTAACAATATGTGTTGTTATTTCTTGTGATCTGACTGTACTGTGTTTCAGTAAATGAGACCTGGGCTAAACTTCAGTTAACTTAATTTTGGCAGTAGCATTTGTTTTTAACATATGGATTTTTTGAAGGGTTTCTTGGGATGGGTGAGACTGAGTCCACTTGGTTCATTGGCCACTAATCGGCCTATTGTACCAGCCCCGGATGATAGGTGATGTGGAGCAGTTGGTGGGATGAGAATTGGCAGGGGAAACCGAAGTACTCAGAGAAAACCTACCCCACATAATGCCAAAGTTATGAATATGTGGAGCTATACCTCCACATGTCCTCATAGTGTTGTGCTTAATTGAGCACAAGGAGGAGTGTACCTTTTCTGCTCAGTAGTGGGGGCAGCTTACACAGTTGCTGTATTTCCATTTGGTACTGAACTAGATCCCTCCATCCTGTCAGTAGCATTTTTAACACATGTCTGAAGACCGTGACTCGTACATAATATTTTCATGAATTCAGGGTGTCAGTGAAGCAAGACTTGACACCAGATGGGGTTGCTGCAGAGCTGCAGATTGCAGGGGCAGAGGCTGCAGACAGTGGCGCCTATTTCTGCCAGGCCAGTAACGTGTACGGCCGTGAACACCAGCTGGTACAGCTGCTTGTCCAAGGTAACTTCGTGTACACAGTTGAGGTCTGCTCCTTTGCCGTTGTACGTGTGCTGGCGTGATGCACACATTTCAATGAGAAACATCCCTCAATGCTATAGCAGTTGCCGGTTTTATTTAAACAACAGAAGGTTATGATAATACAGAGAAAGCCTAGTAATCGTATCATTTTATTTGTTCTGTTTCAGGATCCAATTGTAAGTCCAAGTGCAAAATGACAAACTGTCGTCCCATTTTGAAATCCATATTTTTCATGGTTGAATTCTGCACTTTTGCCCCAACTCTCGTCTGTCAGTCCACTTTACAGCCTTGTTTAATTTTGCTCTTGGCTAAATAATGAATATTTTATTTAGGCACAAATAGCCCTGCCTGATTCTGGCATGTCCCGCAGATTACCATTTCTGTTTCAGTAGACAGTGCAATGATACTGCTCTTAAGGACAGAAGGGAACACAATTATATGTCCCAAGAAGTTTACAGCAGAAGGAAGGGATCACAAGGCTGTTTGGCTCCTGTTGAAAAAGTCAGTTGATTGGATCCTGACAATTACAGTTAAGCTTCCTAATGAATTTTTTTTGCAACAAGGACAGTTTTTATCCTTTGACTCCCTAAAGTGTGGTGATACCACCTGCCATGGCATTAAGAAAATCTACATTTTATCCACTTTTTCTATCTATACTGTCACATAGTATGTGTGTAACTACAGACAGGTTTTTTATTGGTGGATATATTGACCACTTATACACATGACTCAGAACTACAAGCAATTACAGCACCACCGCTAATCTCCACAATTCTCACAAATCATCACAGCACCCTGTAAGCCTTTTCCAGCCTCCTACCTCTTCACCAGCTATTCTGTTCCCTGGCAATGGCTTCTAACAGTAGAGATTCTTAGCTTCATGCCCTCAAGTTCTTGCTTGACAGACTCCCATACAGAACTGACTAAGCTCAAACCTTATCCTATGCTTATAACATCTCTGCACAGACCACATGGAAACACCGTGTTTGCAACAGTAACTCTGCTGCTGTAGGGAAGTGCTTACTGAGCCACTGGCCAGAAATGGCCCTGGTATATTCGTCCATCTACCGGTCATTGCATAGCAACAGTCGCACGCACTGCAATATGTTTTGTATGGTCCTCGCATTAAACAAAGACTATCTCTTTATAACTGAGATGTTATGATATTTATGAGGTGCAAATTGAATTTTAAGTGTTATTTAGATGACATTCAAAGCGTTAAGAATGAAAGCAGTTCTGTTTGAGACACACTGCGTACACATGTGCATGAGAAATGGCTGAACCAGAAGTGTATAAGTGATGCAGAATGATTCAATGACTTTCTGCTCTTCAGTTTTATGTGTTGCCACGTATGACAATGCGGTATCCGTTGTGAGGATGAATGAGGCGAGAGAAACTATAAAGGTTTACTTTAACACAGAGAGTATTTTCTGATTCTGCATCATCAACAGAAGATCTGCATGTCTGCAGTAGCTGCTGTAGTATAATATACTCTTGAATACAGAAGCTCAATCAGCTTCACAATAATTTAGCTCAGGATGTGAGAAAGCCTTAAAATAATATTTATTGCATTGTCACGCAGTTAAGTAGGTGAAGTGTCTCTGCAAGTAGATGCGATATTTATGCAATTCTGTCTAGAACCTCCAAGAAGCCCGATAAACTTGGAGTCAGTGATGATCAGCAGCCGTTCTGTGAAGATCCAGTGGCAGCAGCAGTTGACCGACTCAACAGAAGTCACCAAGTTTCTCGTACAGTATCAGGAGAGCCATGGTGAGTGTAGTGAGCCTCTGGAGCACTAGCCTTTGTCATCAGTGTTAGGGGACTTAAGTTCCCTGTTGCTATAGACGCTGGCAGCCAGTTTTTAACTTGGACATAATAATGTGATGCTATATCATCCAATAGCCAAAACTTAACATCTGTAAATCCGCAATCCAAAATTAAATTTACATGACTAAGAAAACGATTTGCTGATACGGAAACTGAAGAGATACTAGATGACATTGGTCCATTTCCTGTTGGAAGTGTCAGGATAAATGTTATGTCCTCTGGAAGCAGCAGCAGGCTCCATTCTCTTGCCACTGTTCACTTGCTGCACACAGCATTACTCAGCACACCTAGGTGTGCTGCTGGCAGCCTTAAATGCCTATGATTGAGTTTGTCAAAGTAGGCCACGACCACTCCCTTTCAACTCACCATCATGGATTCAGGTGATACATAACCCCTAGAGTTAGTTGTTACAAAACCTTTGAATGGCACAGGGACTTGGCAGCAGATCGAGCTCACAGGCCCAACACTACAGCACACTGCTCTGGTTGAGGACCTCAAGCCTGCAACGAAGTATATGTTCCGAGTGGTGGCTGAAGGTCCAGCGGGACCGAGTGAGCCTAGCCCAGTGCTGACTGTTAGAACCGAGCCACAGCGACCTGCGGGGCCTCCACTCAGTGTGTCAGTCAGGCCTGTCTCCTCGATGGAGCTCCTTGTGACATGGTCCCCACCACTGGCAGAGCTGCGGCATGGGGACATTCAAGGCTACAATGTTGGCTACAGGGAAATCAGGTAATCATTTGGGATTCAAGGTTCTCACATATGTGGTCACAGTCATCGTGATCTGTATTGCCATGTAGTTTGGTATGAAAGTCATGCAGGAACCTGCTGTGTCCATCTTCAGTGTTCTTGTGCTCTGTAAATGGAAACAGCATATCCCTCCAAAATGTGTTGCATTCGTCACTATTACAGGTGGATCGGCTTCATGTCACGTTGCAGACATAACTGTATTGTTGACTGTGTGATGTTAATTTTCAGTATTAATGCCAACAGTCTGAAGTGAACCCAGAATTCTCTGAATATTCATTGCTTAGACAGTAACCACAACAACAGTACCTCTGTTAAGTCTGTTGCAGAGTTCCAGCTGTATATTGTAGGTTTTAAATGTATATATGTTTATGTTACATGTGGGATGCATGTGTGAAAGAGTTTACATATTCTCACATGTCAGCTGGTGAGGTCCCAGGTGAAACTGAATTAGAATGTGAACGTTTTTGTCAGTGTGAGGTTTCACATTTTCTTGGAGGTGAAATACTGTGGTTTTGTATGTAGTTTCCAGAGTTTTGGAGGAAACCTGCTATCTCCTTCTTCAGGATACAGTAGTAGAAGATTCTACCCTGAACATGGAGGCATTATGTTCCTCTGAGAGAGTGGTAACCACCCACAAAACTATTTGTTATAATTCGGAATACTGTGATCTTGATTTATATTGGTACACACCTTTTCAATATATTGGTGAATAAATAATGGTAAAATAAACTCACACCAGAACCACATATACCTAAAGAAAAGAGGAGGTATTGGAACGGTGTGCTACAGGGTGGTCAGTCAAATGTGTCACAAGATGTTCTGTAAATTGTGTTTCCTTGTAAAGGATGATGTGGGGCAGAGTGATCAGTAAACCGTGTTTCTCCTCTGTTGCAGTTCCGGTTCTCAGAACTATAACTTCAGTTCTGTGGGAGGGGATGGAGAGGAGGGGGGAGGAGAGCTTCTGCTTGGCGGACTTGGCAAGTTCACACGTTACTCAGTGGTGGTTCAGGCCTTCAACCAGGTGGGGCCTGGCCCCCTGTCTGAACCAGTAGCAGCGCAGACTATGGAAGATGGTGAGACACTGACCTATGTGCAGACAAGTTAAAACAGGTCACAGTAAATATGACTTTCAGACAGAGTTTGACAAAGTGCTGCCTCTGTTTCCATCATCAGTTCCTGTTCAGTTGGGCCCATCCTTTTGCTTCCCTCTCTGCAGACACCCTGCACAGGTCCAGTTTCTTCTGAAGGCAAGTGAAGTCAGGCATTTTCCTGGAGAGACAGAAAAGTCATAAAAAGCCTACATTAGGATGGCCTTTCTCTTTGTGAACTCTGAAACTGATTGCCCCCACATACAAAACACTCTTGTGCTGAGATGTGATAACAAGAGACTTCGAAGTACATGAAATCAGGGCACAAGTCTGTAATAAAAACTACCGTCTTGTGGGTTGTAACCTCGTGTAGTTCAGTAAAGCTTGACATTTTGGATATTACTCTGCTTGTCACATGATATTTTTCGGTTTCTTCCTTGACTTACTCTTCAACCCCGAAGATAGTGGCTTATGGTCATCCAGAGTGTCAGGCCTTTTCTGAACTACTGAGCATTAGAGTCCAGAAGGCTCCTGTGGAACCCTCATGCTGAACACAGTTTGTAATGGTTTCCCACTTCTCTAGGGCTTGTCTTTGTGACCTCTATCTGCTATGGAAAGGAAATAGAAACTGTTCCTGATGTTGCAGTACCCATGGGGCAGGTTCAGTTATGTCCAGTTATTAGGATGACTGTGAAAATGATGGCTGACAGCAGAAAACTACAGCTTAATGTTGGTTGCAAAGAACAAGGGTGTGGAAGGTGGTTGATGGCTTGACATTGTTCATGTTCCTCAAGTTTTGTGTTTGTTTTGAGTGAAGGTTTCAGTCTGTAAGCAGAATAATCCACAGACAGATGTGATGAGTGTTTGAACACACAACCCTCTGAATAGCAGTTCAGAATCTGACCCAAGACCACAGTATCCCAAAATCTACTCCTCCATTTCTCCTAATTTTCTTCTACATTTTTGTTATGATAGTTGTACCTTTCCTCTTATGTGAACCATCAGGTGACCAGTAATGAGACTGTGCAATGGTAGTTGCATTTTATTTCAGCTGGAAGGACATGGCATAATTTTGCAAGTGCTGCCAATTAGTGTATTTTTCCCAGTTCCCAGTGTGGCCCCTGATGATGTGCGCTGCGCAGGCCTGACATCGCAGTCTCTCCAGGTGAGCTGGCAGCCACCGCCAACATCTCAGTGCAATGGCGTCTTGCAGGGGTACAAACTGTTCTATGAACCAGTTCTGGATGATCACTGGCAAGGTGAGGTAGAACCAACCAGTTGCACTGAAATTCTGATGCCTGGAAGTTCTGTAAGGAGAAAATTGAAGAGTGCTGTGCTCTGGGGTGTGATGCTGCATAATCCACTGAAAGTTCACTGATGTTCCTCCAGACTTCTGCCAGACCACATGACATCACATTCCAGGAACTGCCGTTTTTCAGAGTAGCTTTTGTGAGAACTTTAAATCCGACAAACAAAATTAGTTTGCTAAATTCTTCAAGTCACATGTTGAAATGGCACATGGCCTTTCTTTCTTTCTTTGAGCAGGGCAAAGCAAAGTTTTCTGTTTGGGAAATATGGATTTGTGGATTTCCTTCACCATGCAACATCACCACATTCCTTCCATTTGTGCTGTAAAACAGGAAACACCCGTTTTGTCACACAGTTTAACTAACAGATACCTGCAGTGCAGTATGTTCTTGGCCTCACTGTATGCACTGCAGGTGTCAGAGTACATGGCTGACCCTTTGCTCATCTGTGCTTATAATCGATTTCAGGAGTTGATGACATTGAAACCAGAAAGACCACCGCACTGACAGCTGTGCTCACAGGCCTACGCAAATTCACAAATTACAGTGTACAAGTTCTAGCTTTCACCAGGGTCGGTGATGGTGTCACTACGAAACCCATCTTCTGCACCACTGAGGAGGATGGTACGAACTGGCTACTTCTATTTCAAATAGTTGCAGTGCAGTGATGTTAGACTTGAGTGTCATACTCTTCTATAACACTAGTGTAATGCATTGTTGCCACAGCGCAACCAATGTTCATACATTCATTGAAAGGTGGTTCAGTACATGTTAAATCTGCTGTGCCCATAGTTCAGATAGTTGTTACTAGATTCCCACTGCAATGGCCTGAGTTCAGTCCCACTTTAGGTCATGTGGGATTTGTGATGGACCAAGTGGCACTGGGACATGCTTTCTCCAAGTACTTTGGTTTCCCATATCAGTTCTGAGCCCTAAAACTTCTTCATACAAATCTAACATCTGGGGCTGGGATAATAGGTCAGTTAACTAGCAGCCGATGTACCAAGTGGACTCAGTCTGACCTCACCCTACAAAACTAAATTAAAAACTTTGTCATTGGCAACATGTTTCAGTCTTTAACAACGTGATCTCCGGCCTCATATGCATTCCTACGAAAATACTATTGTGTTACAGCATATCAGACTTCTTAACTTTATAATGTGTCATGGTTATTTGCAAATAAGTACACACATAAAGCCAGAAGAGTACCTTCTTGGAGACCGAAACATGTTGCCATACTGCATGCAAGTTTCAGCAATTGTCAGTAAAACAGGAGGATCACTCTGCTTGCCTACTGACAGTCCAGTGACAGAATCCATGTTATAAATAATGCAAGTTACAAGACAGAGACAGAGCCATGCCACCTGCATGAAGTACCTGCTGTCCTCTATTGGCACATTGTGTTAACCATAATTTCATGAAGCATCATGTAACTGTTTTGGTGTACAGAAAGAGGGTGGGGTGGTTGTGTTGTGTTGTGAAGGCAGCATAATGCAAAGTGCTCTAAGTTAGCGAAAATTAATTTTGTTTCAGCGCCAGGATCACCTGCAGACATCAAGGTAGTCGTCAGTTCACCACAGTCATTGCTGGTGTCATGGCTGCCCCCCACCGAGCCAAATGGCATCATCACGAAGTACAATCTCTACACCAGGTACACATACCATTGCTACTTCATTCCATTCTGAAAGTTACTGCTCCTGGCCTGTGATGCTGTGTAGTGTGGTAGATTTCACCAGTGGATTGGACGATTCTTCTGCTACCATCTTCAGGGCAGAGGAAAAAGCTGAATGTGGAGAAAGGTTGTACAGGGAAAAGAGGGAACCAGGATGCAGTTCCTCCAGAATTTACTGACAGTCTACCAGGCTATATGGCGTCACATAACATATTCACTGCACCGAGAGCCTCATACCCAACCTGCCCTGTGTCATAAATTCATACATCCCGTTGCCATCCATTTGCAGCCCTTTGGGTGTGTCAGACTTCTAGCAGGGAACAGAATGCAACATTTGATGCTGGGCTGTGTGTGTCATTCAGAATGGTTGATGGACGGGACGAGTTGAACCACGGCAAGCGGAACGTGGCAAGCCAGCACACCAGCTTCGAATCGAAGGGTTTGAAGCAACATGTGGAGTACCAGTTCTGGGTCACTGCATCCACGAGAGTGGGGGAGGGTCAGAGCTCACGTGTTGTGGCTCAGGTTCCTACAATCAGAGGTGAGAGACATGGTCACTGGCTCTTGTTGCAGTGATAACTATAGTACCACTTGCTTTAGCATTAAAAGAACTCTGCATTTTGTCCCCACAGTGCATTTGTGTTTTATGTGGTCTGCATGTGATTATTTCCCTAAACAGCATTAACCATCTGTTCTTTGTAACCTAGATTCACTGTGTTTTCATTGAGGTATAAGCTGAATTTTTAACTGTCATTTAGAAGAACTTTAAGCTTCAAAGGGTTTAGCAAATATAATCCTTGGATTGTAACATGTGCTGAATGTGTCTTGCCCACACTGCAGGGATTATGTGCGCAGGAGGCAACACACTGCTTGCTGGGTGTGCACAGTCTGTAACAAGGGCTTCAGAAATTTAAGAAATGTATGTTCTGTGTGAGACAGCAGACTTCAGTCAGTAATGTGATTGGCTGTGGGCTGGATGACCAGGCTTTGAGTATCAGAAGAGGCAGACATAATCTTCTTCTCATTGTCATGCCCAGAGTGGCTGTGGATCCCACCCAAGCCTCTCCCCCAAGGGCAGGGAATGAATCTGACCACTTGCCTGTCCTCAATTCCAGTACCGGCACGGATCTCATCCTTTGGTGGCCCAGTGGTGCGTCCTTTCAGAAACACAGCGTCATTAGCATGTTACACTGTTGGTCAGCCTGCACCACGGCGTGAGTGGCTCAGAGGTGACCAGCCTCTGCATGGAGGCTCAAATCACAATGTCCAAATTATGGACTCAGGAGAACTGGTGATATCCAATCTTCAGCAGAGTGACTCAGGCAATTACACTTGCCAGGTTGCCAACAGTCACGGCTCAGATCACGTCCAGTACACTCTCACTGTGCAAGGTAAGCTCACATGGTAGTGGTTAGAAGTTACTGCTTGTGGCAGTCAGGGTACTGAGAGAGTTCTTCTTGAGAAGCTGACAGTGGCTCATTGGTAGAATCAAACAGCTCATTACTTCCTTCAGAAGAGCCCCCCTCTCCTGAACCCAATGACTCACATCATCACGCCATGTTCATCAGTTTACACAGCTACCAAGATGGATATACTTGCACCAAGTTTCAGGTGGTATCAGCCAAATTACAGCCATCCAAGTGACAAGGTAACTGCTCTCTTGCAGTTCGCCCCGCTTCCCCCACATTGTATGTAACCAGTGCTACAAGTAGCAGTATTCTGCTGCACTGGAAGCCTGGAGACAGTGGGGCAGCTCCCCTCAGTGGTTACGTGCTCAACTACCGCAGGACTCACGGAGACTTAGAAGAACTTATGCTACCCAGGAGAGCCACTAGCTATGAGGTCAAGGTCAGTATCAAATAGATCAGATGTGCCTGCCAAGCCCTAGCTTTGTGCTTTTTTAAACCTATAAAGCACAGTGGTACCTGTATGTACCACTGCCTGCATTAACATAAAATATTTTTATTTTCCCCATACAGTGTACATTTATATGTTCTGTGTGATTCTGACCATAAACATTGTCTCTAATCAGCATTAACAGATTGGTGTGTGTAATGCAGATGCATTGTGCTTTTTGTAAGGTAGGAACTGAATTTTCAGATATTATTTAGATTAATTACAGGGTTCAGAGGTTAACAGGCATTTATTTCCATGCCTTGCTTGGTTTGAACCTGAAGACAAACATAGAGCCTGGCTCTGACTCCAGACTCCATAGTGTGGCCAACATATGTGTTGTTGGAATTCATATCATCAGCTATAGGTAGGGAATGGTGATCGAAAGAATCTGTAATCTTATGATGATTGTCAGTTAATTTGCCATCTATATTTAAGAACTGTATATCTGCATTATTATTTTTTCTGCCTGTGACTGATTTTATAATACTCCAAGTGGTTTTCATATTGTTATTAGAATTAGAAATTAATCAATTGCATTAAAGATTTAATAATGTTTTAGGTTTGGATCATTACTAATCCTAAGGGTTAAATAGAGCTCTCTTTTGTGCTGACATGAAATCTTTATACCACCTGTCATCCATGGATTATGTTTGGTTTTAAACTGAACTTGTTTTTACAGAAAGTCAGTAGAATATTCTTAGGTAAGTAATAAGAAAGGCGTTAAATACTGTATCAACAAAAATATTGTTCCGAGTTTCATAACTTACTTGAATCAAAAACTTTATACTGAGAGCCACATGCATTTCTGCATTTGCTTCAAGCATAGTTTAGTGAAGGTTTACTAGAACAAGCCATTTTAAAAAGTCCACATTTTATGTCCCATACACGTTTTCCACAAGTCTTGTGTTTTTCAAGAAAAACAGAAGTGATTAAACACACTAAAATTGTTATGTGTATAATTCCTAACTTGTTTGTGAAAGAGATGATAGGGATTGGCTTCATGTCACATGAAGTTGCTTACTGAACCTATACATGTGCAGTTTCATGTCTGATACACAGATCCTCTTCTCTTTGCCTTCTCAGCAGCTCAGCCATGGCTGTCCTTGTTGCAGGGTTTGCACTGTGGCAGCACATATCATCTGTTTTTGGCAGCACAGAACAAGATTGGGACTTCAGCACCAAGTCCTACTTTGTCTGTTAAAACACAGGGTCGAGCTCCTGGAATTCCAGAAGCTCAAACACTGCTCTCACCCAACTCAACATCGGTACTTCTTCGACTCCATGTTTGGCCAGACAATGGATGTCCACTCACTCACTTTGTTCTACAGTACAGACCAATCGGCAATACACATTGGACCCTTGGTACGCCTGACTGAAATGACTGATTCTCATTAACTGAACAGACATATTTAATTAAGAAAGAATTCTAATGTCTGGGATGTGATGTCATGTGGTCTAGTAGAGGCTTACTGGTACTTGAAGGATGAATATCAAGCAGCAATTAAACTTCATGGTACTTACTGCTTTTTTGTCTTAGTCTTTGACCATGAAGATGATGGCAGTGTGTTCATCTGAAACGTTAGTAAACCTCTACCAGGCTAATTCATTCCAGATGGCAGGGAATGATGTTCTTCTCAGTTACTGCTGTGGGAACTTCAAATTTCAGAGCTTTGATCAGCAGAGTGGTTTTGTACACTGGCGACATGTGCAACTTGAGTTAAGGAAGTGATGTAAATAGTAACTTAAAACTTTGCGCACATGGCAAATTTTTTACATTTCTGTACTGTATTTATTCAGATACATTTTTATGGTTTACTAGTAGCACAATTCAGATGGCAATGTTGCAAGAAGCAGAAAATCAGTTCAGATCTCATCTGAGAGCATCATTATCCTTGCTAACATGAACATGATCTCTTTCATTGTTCTTCAAGACCAAAGCAAAGTAGCATTTCAGAAAAATTATGATTCTATTTCTGAATCATTTGCTATTAAAATTTAATATTACTGTACACCAGGATCAGCTTTTCATGACTGTTTCACGAGACCAGCGAGCAGAATGCAACGTCTGGTGCCTCCATCTTGGAGGAGAGAGTGAGAAGTCAACTGATGCTGGAGGGGAGGAAATTTCATAATGAAAACCATCTGCTAAAGTTGAAACAACTGGAATTGACTGGTATCACTGGGGGAGGGGGGCAGACAAGAAATAGGCAAAAAGTTTTGAATGGCAAACTTACTGAAAAGTCAGATGAAAATAAGGAATGGATGGTTGCAAAATGTGTTGAGAGGCTTTGCTGCCTCAGGACGGAGTGCAGAGGGGAAACCTTGTGTGTAAAAGAGATGTCACTCACATGTTTAACATTGAAAATGTTGAAATTACATATCTGTACAGTGTATAGTCCTTCGGAAAGTTGGTAAAAAGATCAAGTATTTTGATCTGAATGGTGAGAATTAAATTATATTTTTTTTTCTCTTGCTGCTGCCCCCGTTTCCCCCCAAATATAAATGTTCTAGCAAATTATCCAGCCCCAAATATATATATATATATTCAGTTCAATTCAGTGTTCAGCCACAGAGACAGATCCTTGTTCTTCCTCAGTTTTAATTTAATTCTGCCCATAACGCTGGGGTGTGCTGCTCTTTGTGACAGTGTCGGACGCCCTGAAGCCACAGAGGAGATTCACCATCTCAGGCCTAAGCCCAGCTTTTGTCTACCAACTCAGGATAGAAGCTCATAACATTGCAGGCTCGTCCACAGTGGAGTTCACATTTGTAACCCTGACAAAAGAAGGCGGTGAGTCACGCAGTTTCATGCTTACCCATTTGTATTAGCAGAGATGCTCACTGTGTCTGTTTGTTACGGATGTTGCGAAACAAGTTGGGGTCAGGCAGTAATGCTTCTCTCACTTGTATGCACAGGGTCTCGGGTTTGAATCTGGGCCAGAGTACAGGGCCTCCTGAGGCTCTCTACGCCCCTTTCTAGCCCTTCTGATGATTATACTTCCTCCACATCCTGTCCAGATCAGTATTTACTAACCACCCTGCAATTTGACATTACAGGTGTGTGGCATGATCTGCTGACTCTGTCATTAAATGAACCCTAAAAACTGATAGTGGCACAGGGCCATAGATCATCTTCACAAAGGAATGATCAGATTTCATGTACCCTTTTCCTTTGACATATTCATGTTTAAATTACAACACAATTTCACTATAAGAAGGTAAAGGTATCCCTGTAACAAGCCATGGAGGCTCATAGGGTTGTGAAATATCAAGGCTCCCACATTTTCTAGACAATCAGCTGACAGATGGCAGTAAGACTGTCATCCTTACATGCTGGCAGCCCTTTACCACTAGGAAGATCCCTGGTACTCATTTCTGTTAGAGGTTGGATCGACCCCAGGGACATAGTGCAGCTGGAAGGATTATGTCAATTAAAAAATCCATTCACCACATCACGAATCGAACTCATGACCTACGGGTTTTTAGCATAATGCCTCAAGGAATTATGCTAAGGTGTCTCCCTCAGTTTCATTACAGTGGACCAGAGTGCATCAAGACAGGCTGTGTAGTGGTTCTGTGAGCTTGGTTCCCTGGTCTTTGTTTTACTGAGCATCACAGATCTGCTTCAGTTTTGATGGAAGTGCAGCTTATGACACTCATCTAAGGTCATGCTTGAGATTTAAAGCTCAAAGATTTCACAGACCTTACTGGATCCCAAGATTTAAATAAATTCAAATAGTCCCTTAAAAATTTTTGGAGGTGGGCCTTTTTATTCTTTAGATGAGTATTATGAATGGAGAACAAGGGATGATTGTGTTAATTACAGATAAATAAAACAACAATAGTCATTTTTAAAACTGTTATTGTAGGACACCTATAATTCTTTAGAAATGCTTTTTCTCTATTATAGACAATGTTAATATGTATTTTCTTATGATAAGTTGCAATGCAAGTGTTATATGCATGTTGTATTGAATTATAACAATGTATCAATCCTTTTATCAATAGTTATTGCAACAATGGTTGTAAATATGTTGTAATATCTTTATGGCGTTGTCCTCTGGATTAATTTTATTGTAACTTGGGCTTTGATGTGTTCTATATCTGGAGGCGCCATCGCCAAATGTAGATCTGATGAACAAAAATAAATTGAATTGAATTGAATTGAAAGAATGGCCATAAAATGGAGAGGAGTTTCAAGATACATTGGAGATACAGAAGGTTTTGGTTTGCTGTAAGGAACTACAGAGAGAGAAAGTGAAACACACGAAATAGAGAAGGTATCTTTCATTTTTCAGGATTAAGACCCATCATTAATTTCATAAGAAACCTGATGAATATTCGGGAATGAAATGTCCACTTATTACATTATTTCTGTAGAAGAGATTTTTTCTAGTTACATTATTTTGAGTTGTGTTCACATTCTCAGGATCAAAATTGCCACCGAACTTGAGAAGTAACTGTAATGGTTTATAATAGAATTGACACAATGTTATATTGCAGCCTGGGGGTTCAACACTGGCCCTGTTTTTGACCCAGCTTAATCCAATCCACATAATTTGAGCTTGTTTCTTAACATAAGTGTTGCAATTATTCCAGTAAGTTTTCACATCAAAATTCTACATCTGTTTGATTCTCTAGCCCAAATTTCTTCCAGCCAATTCATATTTATGTAGTAAACCTGCAAGAAGACAAAAATCATATCATGTACATTCTTTCTTCAGTTCATCCACACCCAACGTCCTTGCCAGCATCCTCAATGTAGGAGCACATACAGCAGGTAGTATGATTGGTCTGGCAGCACTCCACAGTACAATGCTGAATTGTTAAGTGCAAGATAAGCTGCATTTTCTGAAATGTTACTTTTTTAAATGTAATCTTAAAATCTAATTTTTCCAAAGTGTATGATCTTCTGAGATGTGGCGCCGTGTAGATCAGTAAGAGATGTGAACTTGTACTGTACTACATGCGCTAAAACTGAGAAGATTGTACTCCTCGTAGTCACTACTGTAATAACATAAAATTCATCCTGTGTTCACCCCATTACTAATATTGTGGATGCTTTTACTTTGTTTGTACATATTTGTAAACCAGTTTATATACTGAACTGCAAAGAATTTCTGTGCTCTGTGTATTTGTTATCATTGCTTGTAAATGTGTCATGACACAAAATGTAAACACTTGCTTCTTCAGATCCTCCACCCCCTGAGCTGGTGAAACGAGGGCATAATTCTCTACCCTTCTACTCTGACATGAGGGTGATGGTGCCCCTCATCATAGCAACAGTGGCTCTGCTAGGAGCAGGTGCTGCTGCGGGACTCTGCTGGAAGCATAGTAAGTCCCTCAGCTCTCTGCAGAAAGTGGCAAGGTTCATCTGAAGGCATGTTACCCCTCTTGTAGAATTTATTGATGTGTCTACACTCGTTGCAGAACAACCAAGACCACTAAAAGAGACTTTGGACAATCAGCAAAATGCTGAGACCCAGAGGGAGCGATACTATGCCACTATCCACAAAGTGGCGCTTCAGGCTGGAGGTGACAAAATTCCAGGTAACTCAGGCCTGGCTACTTATGTTTGAACTAACTTAATCAGCCTCTGAGCACTGTGGATGGAGAGTACATTAGCGGCTGCCTCGTGGCATAGCTTACACAGCAGCGAATATTATGATTCTTCAAAAAGTAAACTCTCTTACAGTAATTCCCCATGTTCCATCAGACTTACATTTTCTTCCAACATATAGTGACTACACAAGATGTGGTCCTTAGTGCTTGTGACAGTGTGTGGCTGGGTTAGATTGATCTTGTACAGAATCCTGTTGCATTCATTTGCAGCTTTTTGGTCTTGTCAGAATTCCTTGGGGCCAAAATTTTTTTCTGAATAAACAAAAGTTTGTGAAACTCCACTCTGTATCATGAATGTGATACTGACTGTTTTTCTGAGATGTGTCCCTAGGTGGCTCTGTCTGACATCCAGCCTAATGCCATGATGTTCACAGTGTCTTTTTATTTTGTGGCAGTAAATGGATTCACTGAATGCGGAGAATTACCTGTTACTGCCTTCCAAAATTTGCATACACATAAAATGGCTCTGCAGGTGAGAATGATAAATGATATCTGACGCTTAGGTTCACGCTCCATTTTTCAGTTTGTTGCTCAAAGGGCTAAGTTTTAACATTCATTCCCAAAGCTACAAAAATTGAAGAAAACTAATTTCAGGTGTTAGAGAGGCACTGCTCAGGGATGCAGGAACCATTGTGTCAATCACTGATATTCCAGAAACATCGGAAGACATTTCTCCCTATGCAACGTTCCAACTCTCGGGGCCGGGAGGTGACCCAAGCAACACACTGCTGCATAGTTTCATGTACCACGAGCAGGCCATGACGGAGGGCTGTGCCTCTCCACCCCCTACAGGGGTAAGTTCAAATCGCCTCATCTTTCTAATGGACCCAATAGAGTAGGTATCTCCCCCCCCCCCAAACGAATGATGGAAATGTATCCAGTTTCCGAAACGTTTTGCTCTTTAGAATACAGGATGATGGACAGAGTCCAAAAATCCAGTAATCCAGAGTGTTACACACCTTCAGAGCCCTTCCTCTTTTGTTATTCAGTAACTTCATTTTGCACTGTACACTGTGAGCTTAAATTAACCATAAATAGATACATGAAGATTAACATTACCATAACACAGATTTTATGTGTTTAACTGTACACAGTGGAATCTGTGCATGCACCAAAATCAATTTTGATTTTAGACCTGTTAAATTTATAAAGTAAGAAAACTCTGAAATTGCTTGTACTGTGTCAGTTGGTAAGATGACCTTGCTATATTTTAACATTTAGATTTTCAAGAACAGTGCAAAGCTGTTCCAGGACTGTACATGCACACGCCATGAAGCCTAATGAGAGCATACAGCCTGTGATTAAAGTGAATAATAATAACAACAACAACAACAACTTATACTGATTGCAGGTTGCTAAGAGTTCGCGGAGAAGAAGCAGCAGAAAGACAGACGTCGATACTGATGAGTCAGACTCTGATCCAGATCAGCTGACGTCAAGTCGCACAGAGTCCTCCAATCAGCTTGATGCAGCCAAAGTAAAACACAGTGAGTGCCCGCTGGTTCCAGATGTAACATTCTAAAAAAGAAATGTAGCCTGTAGTGACAAGCCAACATTCACTCACCTGATCAAGGAATCATCTGCCTTTTTTGAAACATGAAGGTTTGTTACTGATACTGATTTCTTGAGAGCGGAGTAGAATGTGATGCTTGTGTGGTGAATGGTAAATGGTATGAAAGGATGTTTATGGGTAGGAAAGAAGCCTGGATGTTACAAACACTGCTATAGGTACTGCAGCCATGTTGGCTGGCCTGAAGTTTGAATAAGCGGCATTTTATCATGTATCATTTCAGATTTCATCTATCATGGTGCTCAATCAAGTACTTCATCAGACATATCACCAATGTCAGAACAGAAATCACTCCCCAGGAGGGGCAAATCAAGGTAAGAATGTATCTTTCTATGCATCATAATTCAAGAGAAACATTGAAGACAGTTCATCAGCACACACTCATTGCTAGAGTGGGCATACTGTTGCACAACATTCAAGAACTTACTCATCAGTGTTGATTGTGAAGGGATACTACTAACAGACAGATTATCTATTGCATTAGACGTCATCTCTTTACTCCCAAAGCAGTTGCAGGTGGCTAGTTCCCAGCCGAGCATCACTTCGAACACTGCTGCCACCACTGGCTGTGGCAGAGACAACTTTTGGAGTCCAACAACCGCAGTCTGAGGCTGGGGAAACTCCCGACCGACCAGAGCTTAGCGAGGCTGAATGTGACATCGACACTCTAAAGAAGCTTAAGCTTGGACTGCGATCATCTCTGTGGTCTCGACCAAATACGCACAGCAATCAGGCTGACTACTCCATAGCCGTTTAAGTAGGGACAGTAAAGCTTCTTGCTAGCAGACGTGGATGCCACTCGGGAACAGAGGGTCTGTCCGTACGCTACCAGACCCTGTACAAGTGCTGATTATTCCTTCTGCTGCCCCTGCTCTGCAACTGTGGGATGCCATGATAGTCTTTTGTTTCTCGTATCCTTTGATTTGCCCCAGAATGATGTAATTTGGATAGACAAAATACATGGAAAGAGTACAACGCACTTTTATGTCTTAAGACATCAAAATATATGCTGTTACATTAAAATTATCCCTTGAAAAGGCAAGAAATAATCAAATTTATTACACTTTCAGTCATACTGAAACAAATTTAAAGTAAGAATCTATATATATATATAGTTCTCACAGCAGCACTTATGAAGAGTGGTATCTTTACACAGTGTAGTCTGGTGGAATTTCACCATTGTTTCAGAGGAACATATTACCTTTTTCTTCAGGTCTGAAGAGTAAGACAAGCAAGAAATTAACATGAACCAGGCAGCCAGCAGAGCACTGTTATGTATACTCTTCAATCATGAAGATGGATGCATTATGTTTGTGTGAAACATCAATGGATTACATAGGATTACATCCCAAAGACAGTGCTCTCCAAGTACATAGAACTTGTATTTTACTTCTTACTCTGCTGTTATTGTTTCCATTTCATAGAGGTCACTGGACATTAAGTCTTCATTGTCTTTGTATCATCCTACATTCTTTGCTTTTTGATTTCACCTTTTTGTGTAGTTAAAAATTGTTAGTATTCTGCTACGTGTTCACAGAAATTATTGTTGGTAGTTGCCTCTCCTGTCATGCAGGGCCCACATCGGCTGCTGAGTGATAAGGGTGACACAGACTGAGAAACCGGCGATACCACTAACATTTCTTTCCATTTCAAATAAATGGTATTAATACAGCCAAATGCAGCTAATTGGGACAAGTATATTGCGTTTCATTTTGTTGAAATAAATTGTAAAGAAAAAACCTGACAGTGCACGTTATCCCAATTGTTTGCATTGTGCAGTGGTAATATTACTTAAATTAAATCAAAAAGTTCAGGATGAAGCAGCCCAAAGAAATAAATCTCTGTTGGAACTGTGGACCATACTGATACTGCAGTAATTGATTAATGTCTATAAGTGAAATGCACCTTGACATCTGTTGTCTTCTGTAAGGCTATAGCAAGTAAGATTATAATGATCTGTCAGTATGAGATCTCACCCTGTCCACACTCCATAACCTTGCAGCAGGTGCTGCAGTGGGATCAGTATAACCTTGAAGAAGAGAGAGAGATTGAGATGAAGTTAGGTTTATCATGATTTAAAATAATAATCTAGAATATATGATGTTATTAATATTAAAGGGAGCCAAGAATGATTGAACATGTAACATGAACAGGCAACACATGAAACGCAGGCAGGGAAATGTCAGTTTAGAAGACCTACAGAAAGGCAAATCAAGAACATTGAAATGTCTGGGTAAGCAGGTTGTGATGATGCCAGGTGGATTCAGCTGGTTTATGAAGAATCCAGTGATGTGCTTTTATTACTGATCCTGTTGTGGTACGTCTGTGCATTCCATAATATCATAGGCTTTGTTATCAATAGAATTATGCAATCCCATATCAACTGCCATTTTGGAAACAGGATGGTATGTGTACTTGTGCTTACACAGGCCAAAGTGCATATATACAGTTCTTTCCCCAGTATGTATGTATATATATATATATAATGTGGAAAGAAATGATGAGTGGCTTGATATGTAATAAGATAATATGTGTACAGACAAGTGCATTACAAAACTGGTACGTTTTGCTTGCAAGTTGGGTCCATGTCTGACTGCAAAGGCTTCTCTAGATTAAGGACATCAGCCTGAGACGGAGATCACGGGATGGAGATGATAAATGAGGTGGTAAGTGTTGGTCTACCGCAGAACACCAACCATGTATAAATTTGTTGACATTGCCCCTCGTCATAAGAGGAAATGGCTATATACTGTCATTCTGTATAAATAAATACTGGTCGACTGCAAGGAAGTGACACAAATCTCAGTGTTTTACAGTGTTTATCATACAAATCAAAAGACTTCCAATTTAAGAGGTTTGTTCTCTTTTGTACTCCTGGGCCTAGTGATCTGATGTGATAATGTCGAACTGTATAGAACCTGTATCTGTTCATGGATGCATTGTATCTGACTCCATGTCACTTCAGCATCCCCAGTGTTTTCACCCAAATTGTGTACCTGTTTTTAAAAACATGTATTATTTATTAAACTATATATAAGACTCGTTTTTATGTATATACATATATATATATACCATATGTTTTCAAAATAAATTATGTAATTTGATAAATCTACATTATTTAAGTGTTCCCCAATAGGGTGACAGTTTGACACTTCTAGGTGTGCTGAAGGCAAAAGTTTAATTTAACATTTTTTTGATGAAGGGACATCATAGTTAATTTACACCTTGAATATCGTTTATCAACTCTGTTTTATAAGAAAAGTGCAATTTTTTGGAAACTTCTTTTGTTTTTGTCTTCAGGCAAGATGGTACCTAGCCTGAAGGATCTGTTGCAGAAATTAGCTACAAGGTTTTGAAACTGACAATAGTTTTTTCTTTGTCTGTTAATTGACCATATTCTCTGTCATTGCATTAAAGCTGAATAAGGAAACTGCAAGTAGTGAACAAGAGGAAGTGGCTGTGTCTTTGTACACAGTGTTTAACCCTTTAAAATAGAGTGGTAGCTATGTGTACCACCTGCTTTATTTAACATTCAGCAATTTCATTTTGCTCTCAACAGTGTATTATGTGTTACATGTTACTCTTAGAATAAAAAATTATTATTTTCCTAACAGAATTAATTGGTTAGTCTTTGTAATGCAGGTGTAGTATATTTTATGTGAGTTAGGAACTGAATTTTTATGTATCATATGGGTGACATTCATAACATTCAGACTTTAAAAGGTTAATATGTACCTTTCAATATAACTGGCAACATCAAAGTGATATAAGAAATTTCCTAAATTTTACAGGGCTTGTTCATTGGTTGCAGAGGTTTCACAGATCTGATGTTTCGTGTTATCTGATTCAGTTGGTAAGAGTGAAATTATTTTACATAACTCCACAGCTCCAGAGAATATAGCTGAAGAGATCTAGAGGGAAAAGTTGGTTCCTTGCTTGTTGTATTCTCAGACCCTGAAGGTGGAGGTGACACGTAGGTTGACTTAAACCAGACAACAGCGTTATATACCAGAAAATATAATAAATACCTAAATAACCGTCACTGTCATACTTCACAACCTGCATCGTATGGATCGTATTGAATTGAATTGAATTTATTTACATTCTATAAATCTTAAGCAGGTACAGAGCAAGTCAAAAGGTTACATACATAAGTACAGGCAATTTTAGCTTAAAAATTAATATAACTTAATTTTACATCATTCTCTATTTACATTGAAGTATTCATCTAAAGAGTAGAAGGAATGAGCATGTAGATAATTCTTTAACTCTGATTTAAACTTTTTAGTATCATTGCCCAAGTTTTTAATACCTTGTGGCAGATTGTTGAACACTTTTATGCCAGTAAAGTAGACTCCTTTTTGATATACTGAGAAAGTTGATGAGGGTAGGTGCTGGGTTTGGAAGATTGAGATCGATTGAGATATTGAAATTAGCATGTTTAACTACGTTAGTAGATGTCTCTACCTGTGCGAGAAGTAGCCACAAACTTACTTATCCTATGCCACAAGGCGATACGGGTTACTCTGCGCCAGTATGAGATTTGTATGTGTGTTTAGGTAATGGAGGCCGAGAAGTCAAGTGCTTATTAAAATTATTTTATGATTGTATAAAATGTGTAATGTTTTATAAGAGTTTGGCATTTTGTTACGGTATGTGATTTTTTTTATACATTGCGAGCGAAACTTCATTCCACGTCAAAATTTATTTGTGCACATAACCTTTACAGTAAACCCAACTATTCAGCTCTTATTCATTCATAGTATCACAGGTATAATAGTGCTTATACACTGAAACAGTTGTGAAGGGATCGCATGTTAAAAATAATGACAATGAATAGTACACAATTTTTCAGGAAAGAAATATAATTTAGTAATGTTTCTTCAGAGGCCATAATGATTGCTAGCAGCTATAGTACAGTAACATGCAATGCCTTTAATGAGTTAAGGAATGAATCTGAGTGGTGTGGACATAGTTCATTACTTTTAGGAAAGAGTGTCAGGAAAATATCGTATGAAACGGCACCCACAAAATATAATTTTATAACCGGAGCCCATAAGCCCTTTAATATGTTAGGAAGTCCTCAGGAAATAACCAGAACTTTACCAAATGCAGATTTAAGTGTGTCATTCATTGGCAATGAGTACTGGGAACGTGATAGTTCAGTTTTGGATGGCCGTATTTCTCAAACAGCTCATGAAACAGATGAAACACCAGCTCTGATTTTGAGTCCGAGTGAAGGTGGTAACATAGAATTGTCTTCTGAGAATTTCGCCCGAGATGTTAGAAGTGTAAAGTATGATGCTTCATCTGAATTAAGCAGGCATTTTGCATGTACGACAGGTCAAGAAAATTTTCAACCTCACAGTGCAGCCGGATCAGGCTCTGTTGAAATTAAAGTAGAAGTAGACCCAAATCTGTATGTGACCTGCGGTGACACACAAACGGACAAATCACAGTCAGATTGCCACTTGAAGAATAGTCAATACAATAAGCCTAGTGTTGTATTGTTGCCAGAGACACATTCCAAAGTGAACAGCAACCAGAATGTTTGTATTAAGGATTCAGGCACCAGAAATGTTGACATTACCATTAACAGACTTATTGTAGGGAACAAACAAGATCAGATAGCAGATAATATTAATTTGAAACAATTTGTGAAAGATGAATTAGATAATAAATGGAAGAGTGTGAATATTGATGATAGCGGTGAGGATGAAGCAAGTGAATCAAGTGACGGTGATAGTGAATTTTGTACTGAAGAAGCCAGTGAGAGTTATGACCTTGTGAGGAACTGCAGTCCTGAAGAGCAGATGGACTTACAGCTGTCTCAGTTTTACAAGTTTGAATGTGATGAATGCCCAATAAAACAGACATTCAGTACTTTCAAGGTGCTTGTCCAACATTGCAGGGATGAGCACCAATCAAGAGGCTGCGTTTCATGTTGTGACCAGAGGATGTGGGAGAGAGATGAGCTTGTGGGCCACATGTGCAACCATAAGCATACTTACAGGTAGGATAAGTTAGCTTCCTCAAGTAGATGTTAGTTACACACAGATGTTCGGTTGTCTCTGTACTTAAAATTAGCACCAACCACACCATGAAGATGTATGAATGAGTCACTTGACCCCTGTCAGGGATGGAACTCTGATTCCTCCGTCACCCAGCCCATAGTCTAGTCAGTATACCAACTCAGCTCATCCTAAGATGATTGTATTGTCTAAGTCTTCCGTATATGGCCGCGCTATAGCTGAAGCGGTTAGTCGCTGGTTTCCCACTGCAGTGGCTTGGGTCTGATCCTGGGTCTAGTCAAGTGGGATTTGTGGTGGACAAAGTGGTGCTGGGGCAGGTTTTCTCTGAGTACTTCGGTTTCCCCTGCCAATCTACATTCCACCAAATTCTCCATCATCATAATCAATGGCCACCGTGCCGAGTGGACCCAATTGGACTCCACCTCCCACTAAGCAAATTTTTAGTCTTCTGCATCATTTTGTACATTTTTAGGAGTTGACTTGTAGTGTTTTAGATGCTTCAAACTGACTTGTCCAGTTGCAGTTGTGTAACAGTTTATGGATGTAAATAAATTATGAATTATGAATCATAGCCATAGTGTGGCTGGAAGGATTAGGTCAATTGAAAAAATCCATTGACCTCATCGGGACTTGAACCCGTGACCTTCCGGCTCGTAGCATAGTGTCTCAACCAACTACGCTACCGCGTGCCCCCCTCCCTCAAATGAGACCACAAAAAACTTCTTCCACATCCTTTCCAGTTCATCCCATCATTTGTGATTTAGTCTGAGGTTCTGGCACTGTCATTAAATAAGCAATAAATAAATAAGAAGAGTACAGTAAACTCTCACTAATTGAAAAATAAGTGGGGGAGATGACATCCGGATCAAGCAATAATCCAGATTAGTGAAGCAAAAGATATCCCTAAAAGACAAAAAAAAAAAAGACTTAGAAAACAAATAAATTGGAAATTTAATAATGTAAGGTAATACTTATAAAAATAAATAAAAAATATCAGTGCGGCAGTTTCGCCCTGTGTCAGAGGCTGAAATTCAGGGTTTCCTTAATCCAACTGAAGCCAGTAATGGATATCTAATCCCATATGCCTTTTTAAAAGAATGTGCTCTCAACTGTCAACAGAATTTTTCATATTTCAATCCACACTATCTGACATCTAGAGTAACTGTAACCAGATTAGCAAGGATTTTTACCGTACTATCTTTGGGTATGTGGCACTGTGTAATCCAATGGAAAGTCCACTGATGTTTCAGAGGAACTTCTTTTTGCTGGATTTTGTGCTTGCTTTACTCCGATTCAGAGAATTGAGGTAGGATGTCCCTTCAAAACATCGTTGAACTCCTAACAAACTGCATGGGCGTACATCCCAGAATGTGGCGCTCATCACAGTTGCTGTTGTCAGAACCTCAGATCCAAAATAAATAATAAATCTGATGACAATTTGCTACCTTTAATGTTCCGTCTCTCAAAATATAGTTTTTTTAAGTAACACTTATCATGTATACCATTCCAGGTGTCTTGAGTGTCAGGAAGTATTCACAAACCAGTCAGCCTGGAAGGACCACCTGAAGCAGCACTCCCCAAAAACAGATGTGGACCCTTTCCTCTGCCCACATTGTAACAAGCAATTTAGCTCCAAATATGGTCTGGCCAATCACATGAATCTACACTTGCCAGAGAGCGAACGGCCATATAAGTGCCAGTATTGCAACAAGGGCTTTGGAGCAAAGCACGCCATGACGAAGCATGAACGTACACACTTGCCAGATGAGGAACGGCTGAGTTATGTCTGCGATGTCTGTGGCAAAAGGTATAGCTCATCCGTTCAGTGATTAGCCACTGGATATAGGTTTATGTGAAGAATGTGTCGATTTGTTGTTAGGATAACTCTGTAACACTGAGCTCGTTTTGCCTTTCAAATGTGATGTCATTTTCAGTTGGCTTTCAGTGTCCCTAGAAGCAGGGCAATTCGGGTATGTTATTTATTTCAGTATAGAATTGATCCGTTCCACTTCCTTTAATATAGTCAGATGAATCACATGTTATATACTGGATTGAGCTGGCTCAGCATACATTCCAGTGACAGTGATGAACTTGGAGTTTCTGTAACAACATGAAATTCCTTGGCTAGACATTGCACGGCAGTTCCCCTCCGAGCTGTACCCTTTCTGCTGTGTGGCAACATTTAAATGGGAGCAAGGGGCTGTTCTTACACTGTCATCTGTATTTCGATATTCTATGGTGTGTAAATAAAACTCGTTGGTGAAAGAAGTAGCACAAAAAACGTTAAGCTTCCATCTGTCAATACAGCATGAACTTTTATAGCTCAAGTTAAACATCTGAATGCAGACTTTGAAATTTCATATGATAGTTGGGTCAGGGCAGCCAAGAGCACCTCGGAGATTATGTTAGTTGGGCTTAGGGATAATTTTTTTTTTTCATATGTTGAAATTTATAGGTTTGGATATGCCAGCACACTGGATGGACACCAGCGACATGTTCATCAGAACGAACGTCCCTTTGTGTGCCATATCTGTGCCAAGTCGTTCCCTATCAAGGGAGCCCTCACATACCACCTAACCACGCATGAAGTGCAGGATCGTGTACAATGTACGCAGTGTGGCATCTGGTGAGAACAGTGACCCTTACACCACCACTATCATCACGTGCATGTTCGTAGCGAGATGCTCGTGCATGCAGAGCCGTGTCACAAGACGTTCACCCGTAAGTTTAGGTTGGAATGACAGCCATGTTGGTGTGCTGGCTGAGGTGAAAACCTTGCGTGCTTTTATGATACAATTGGCAGATGTCTTCCTAGTCTCTTTACATCCTAAACACATTCAGATCCAACTATAAATTCATCAGACCCTTTGTGTAGTGTACCCACTCTCAGTTGCCTCTTGTTGATACTGTATTGCAAGACAGTCTGTAATCTGGCCCTCGCACTGTGATGTGCTTCCCCTTTGATTAACCTTTTATTAATCGTACACCTTGGATGAAATGTAGGACCCTATTTATGGGGGCGTCATAATAGTTACTTGGTTCCATGAAGAACTTGCCCAGGTGACAAAATCTTAAATAAGCAATGGCCTCACAGCCACAGAGAGTGTGTGTGGCTGATTCAACCTCTTCTAGCCACCTTTGACAAGTGAGATCATCTGTCAATTGCAGTTTGGAAAGGTATCCTTTTAGGTGACAGTGTCCTGTAAATAGTCCTATCACCATCTTAATTGTTCTCTGTTTGGCTTTAACAGATCCTTTGTTCTTCTGGCAGAGGGCCCAGATATAAATCCCTTTGCCTGTTTGAGTCCAATTGTGGCTTCCCAGTGTTTTTTTGTGATTTCTATTCATACGGCTCCTGACTGCTTTCTTGGCAACTCCAATTGAGATGCCGCAAGCTGGTTCATGTCCTGTGAACGGATGTTGAGATCCTGTTCTTGCCAATTGATCTGCCATTTCATTACCCACAGTACCCTCATGACCAGGCACCCATATCAGTTGCACTCTGTTGCTGCAGGAACCAGTACCAAGCTCTGCACTACATCAGAAATTTCCCACTGTTAGCATTTAGCGGAAGGAAGTTTTGCAGTGTAATGTTTGAATGCAACATTGTCACATTTAGCACTGTTGTGTCTGTCGCTCACTTTCAGGTTGAAGAATGAAAAGATTCTTCGAATCCACAAAAAGTGCCATGAAGGGGAACTGTTCACTTGTCCTCACTGTGACAAAGTTTCCAGTACGCGTAATAATTTGCGGATGCACATGAAAAGACACAGTGATGCTCGACCACACACATGTCCACTTTGCACTCGTGCTTTTAAGACACCTCGTGATCTGAAGGTAAGCTTCATATGTGCACAGTGAAAATCCCTTTGTAATGGTGTAATAATATGTGGAAGGTTACTGGGGAAAGATCTCGAAATGAAACTTGATTTGTAATGAAGATGAGTTGACTAGGCATAATTTCTAGGTGCCAGCTTGTATTACATAAGGATAAGGAGCATTGTCACTTCAACCCACTATGATCCTTGTCCTGCCTGTGGAGGTACAACTCCAGTTTTTCTTAACTGTGGTTAGTGTCACACTGGTCTCTCTACCCCTGGGGGTGGAGCCAACTGTGTCCACTGAATAGGATGCATAGGATGCTGGATAGGACTTGGAGATGGTCTAGATGTGAGAGTGAAGAGAAAGTCTTTGCCTTGATCAAGAATCAAACCTTGATTTTCTGGTTGTCTGGCTTGTGGCCTAATCGCTGTACTGAGCTCAGTTTGTGTTATGAAAGTGACAAACCACAGGATCACATTTGGCAGACGTGTCATGACGTTTATGTAAGTGGGACATTCTCTGTGTTTCCCAGACGCACACGGTGCAGCACACTGGGCAGAAGCCCTACAGCTGTCCCTACTGTCCCAAAACGTTCGCTAGTCCAAGTAACTTCTATGCACACAGGAAGATGAAGCATAACAGTCCTGCTGTCTCTTACGAGGGACTGACTACGTCTGGTACATCACATTACCAGTATTAAACCTCTATCGATGTGGTAAATATTATTGTTTTGTTTTTGATACAGTTGTACTGATAATTCACAATGCATGCTGATTTACTTAGTAGAGCAAAGGAGGAACTTTTCATGGTGATACAGTGAGACTTGTGTGCTGCCATTATTGCGTCATGGTCTCCCATGGACGTGACTTTCTGATGCGCATTTTGTCACCTCATCTAGGGATCGAGCCCAGAACTTGCCCTCTCTGTAGGAGGGATTATATCCTGGTAGCCTGGCTGTAAGGGGCTCCATCAGCACAAAATGTGAGGTAGGGGGCAACACTAGCACCATTTCATAATGCATACTGAGATGATGTGTGGCAGTGTACTGCCGAAATGTGCAATTTCTCTGTGGTGTTTTATATATAATATCAAAATAATGAAATGGTATCTTAGCTGAGCAAAATCCATGTTTATCTTGTGGTTTGATTGTGCTGGCTCACTAAGGATGCTGAATTTGGTATGGAGGTAGATCATAAACATATGTACACTCTATCTGTTGCAGGAACGAGGGTGTGTCAGTGATGTAGACTCTTACATCGCCATCAGAAATTTACTATATTTTGCTTTCAACATACTTGTCCCAGTGGGAAACTCAAACATACTTACTCGGTACTTTTCTTGCATAAAGTTGCCTACACAACAAAGGCTCTGTGGAGTAGCTGGACTGCATGAAGTGTGTGAACTGTTGAGGTTATGTCTGACATTTAGCATAGAAAACCTGTGCATAAGAGATAACTTCTTTCCAAAGAAGATGATAATCGTAAGAACACCAATGTGTAACATATTTACAGTTGCAAGCAATAAAACATTTGACTGTACTAGGATTTGATCATGTGACCATCTGTGTACAAATCCACTTTGCTGACCTATGAAGTGTGTTGCATTTTTGTGTGCAATTATAAATAAATGTGCATTATCTAAATATGAGCTTATGAACTGAAGGGCTGTAGCACTGAAGTATGCAATATGAAAGTAAGCTTTTTGCATTCATCGTGGAGTCCCCATTTGCTTTGTTATTTGAACGTTTTGTGCGTGTACATGCTGAAAACAAGACTGGTTATTTCTTAGCATCATTGCTTCCTTCTGATGGTTGTATTTTCCAAACCTACATAAAACATGGTATTTTTTTTTTATTATTATTACTGGTGGGGTGGGACTAAGCCCCTTGTACTGCGGCCACTTCTGGCCTATTGTACCAGCCCCAGATGATAGGTGAGGGTGATTGTGGAGCAGTTGGTGGAATGAAGATTGGCAGAGGAAACTGAAGTAAAACATGGTAACTAACACACTGGTATGTTCAGACATTTTCAAAGTACCAAATGGGTGATGTATACTGTAGGATTTCAGCCCGCTCTGTAACTACATGTTTGGAATCTCTTTAGAATGTTTTAAGAGGGCATTTTATTGTCTGAAACAAATGAGTTGGTGGAACAGTATGAGCGTTTGTTCTCTTCTCCTGCCAACACAACTCAGCAGTATGCATGATTATGTGTCATTAATCGCATCTGACAAAAAGTGCACTGCTGATGTATATCTTTTGAGCTTTAGCTATGTTGTATGTTGAAGTGCCAGCATTTTGGCATACATTCGAGTCACAATCTTCTGGGTGACGATGGCACCTGCAGTGGACACCAGAATGCTGGAACACCTTCAGCACACATCACTGTGAAACCCCAAAAGCTGAAATAACATGTATGGTACCAAGATGCCTAGAGATAACTGTCAAGCACCACCAGATCGGAAGCTGAAGGACCGAACTTCCAGAGAACAGCGCTCTTACAAGCGGCCATTCTGAAGACAGAAGGATATGGGGGGAAATAACAAGATGGAGCATCAGCAGTTCTGAGGGTAGTACTTCGCTGGTTGGTTGGTTGGTTGGTTGGTTGGTTGGTTGGTTGGTTGTGTTACCGAAGTAGCACACATGCACAGGCAAGCCTTCTGAGCTTTGCATTTCGTCAGTACTGATACAGTTACACTGGAGACTTGCAGTTCCCTGTTATCACTGATGGGGACTGACGCAACCCGTGTCACTGACACTTTCCTTTTGTTTGAGAGGAAACATCTTTTACATTGTAATATCTGATAACGTAGCCAATGGTAGAATTATCACAGATTCTTTTTTTTTTCTCTCTCTCACAAACATAATACAACCTATGTCATTTTTCAGACCATTGTGTTTTGTGATATCCCCTTATTGAATCAATGAATTTATTATGAAAACATTTAATTATGTTTGTAAAGTCAGAAAGCATGGATGGAGCTTTTTAACATGCATTGCCAAAGTGGGTCCGGTCACGGATGAGATTTTTGTTGTTATTTTCATCTTTATTCCTTACAGATTTATGCTCTTTGGACTATTCCAGTTAAGAATTAAATTCTGAAACGGTGAATCATCAGATGTTTTGTGGGACTTGTAGGATGAGGGGATCTGTCCACCATGAGGCCTCTACCTACTCAGGCGAACTAAACAGATACACATCCATGCCTTGAGTGGGACTTGAGCCTACATTTCCAGTGTTAAGCAGTCAAAGACACTATCTCTGTACCTTAGACAGTGTGACTGCTGTGAATGGGTTTTTAGTTTTCCAGAACCAAAGTCCTATCATCAAGTCACAGGTGTAGACGCAAGTTTTGGGGCTCAACTGTAATGGTTTATTTGAGCAACATAGCAGATGGTCCTGATGCCTCCTCGTTTCCTGTTTTGTTGGACAGGGAGTGCAGCAAATATATATGTGTGATGAAATGATTTGATTATGTTATTGATGTGCCAGAAAATAAATATACGTTTCTCACGTATAGTCACTAAACGATAACCTGGTCAATGAAAGTGAAGCTTTGTGAGGTTACCATCACCTCTGTCAGAATGTGAGCCAATCCTTTGCACAGGAGCACGAGTGCCCACAGGAAGCGTGAATTAGAACAGCAGATTGCTACTGGTGCAAACAAGTAGGGTCTCTTCATGTATAGCTTTGTACCCTGAGAAAGATGTGTGAGGATCAAGATACGTCACATTAAATAATTTCAGTTTATAGGTGCTGAGATGCCGTGAGTATGAAGTAATCCTGTCCGCTACAGCCAACACAAAACTTTTGGTCGTGTTCATTAATATTCTGCTTGTACAGAGACACTGCTAGTTTCATTTGAAGAAGCACTAGCTGAATTTTCTGAGAAACTTACAGTCACATTCTCACTATACCTGAAAAACATGTCATTGATGCTAAATAGAACAATTTAAAAGCATAGAACAGTAACGCCATTTACTTTGAATATAGGATGCAAATTTTATACATTTTTTTCCCCCCTAAAATCCACATTCAAAAACTGGTTGAGGGTGTCTTGTATTCGAAGTATTAAGGTATTTTAATTATTTGATTGGCATGTCCTGATTCCATTAATTCACTTGGTGCTCATGGATGAGAGAAACCTTTGCCCAGTAACAGCATCTGGAGGAACCAGAGAGAAATCTTCATATTCGTCCACTTGAAACACCTGTATATCTATTGTCTGTGGTACCTACATGCACTTTCAGACAAGTGCACAGTTTAAGAGACATGTGTACTGTTTATGATATTATGTAGAGTCTGAGACGCCAGTTTACTTCCTGAGGTGCCTATATCCAAATCAAGTCATTTACTTATCACTGGAGACATTTATGTGCAGTTTGAAACGTATGCATGCAATTTGAAACAGCTTTGAGACACCTATATATAGCTTAATACACATATAGAAATGTGGACACTAACGTAGAGTGAAGGCACCCACACTAAAGTTCAGACAGCTACTTAAGGTCTGAGGCACCTGCATGCAGTTTGAGTCACTTAAATAACGTCTGAGATGCATGCATCATATCCGGTTTGGCAACAAGCTGCAGCCTGGACATCCAGGGTTCGATTCTGTGAAGCGGCAAGATTTTTCTCTTCTCCACAGTGGCCAGACTGACTGGAGCCCACCCAGTAACCTATCCAATGGACATCCAGGGGTAAAACGGCAAGGGTGTGAAGCTCACCACTCACCTCCATCAAGGGACAAGGTCCCCCAAATGTCTTGATGCATAATGCTTAATTACTTTACCCATATTGTACATCCAGTTTGAGGCACCAATATAGAAGGATGTAAGACGTTAGTGTGAAGTGTACATCGAACCATATGTAAAAGTTTGCTGACGTTTTATGGAGTGTACTGCTTATCCTCAACCCCACCATTTTGCCCTGAAAATGGAGACATCGTGTTCTTCCTGTACGGTGATCCCAGAACAAATTCATATATTCGCGGCCGAGTGAGCCTTGCAGAAGACAGTCGTGTTACCGACCGTTACCGACTGAAGCCCGCAGCTACCATAGACAACCCGGCCAATGTAGTATTGCTACCTTATGATAGATAGCACATCAATCGATATTAGTGAAATGCACGTCGCACATTTATGTACAGGGGTTGGTAATCCGAATTGATCCGAGGGATCCGAGTGATATGGTCATGGGTTTGTGTTTGACATTTGAAAATGTGAAATGTTAAGTATCTCTTAGCAACCAGTCTTTTGTAAATCGCAGAGGGAGAAAATGTCAGGAGTTGGGAATGTATTGTTTCCACGTTCTAGAAATACTTCGAAACTGTCAACACGAATAGATGCTGATGGAAGAGAAGTTGAGGTAACTAAGAGATAATCTAAGAGGAGCTCTTGCTTTATATCCCTATTGAGGTATTTAATCAGGTTCCTGTTAATGTTTTGAATTTTAAATATATACGAGTATATGTTACGATGCAAATAAAATTTATGTATTTAATTACCGGGGTTATTTTTTTATTATATTTGGTTTTAGTGCTTCAGTCTGAAAAAAAGAATGAAATATTAAGTATTTTATTCCCCCCCCCCAGCACCTCATGGAGTCCGTATATGAAGCAGTAGTGTGCATTATGCAAGCGCTTTTGTATGTGTTCGTTATATTAGAAAGTAACCCATGTACTGGGTAGCATACAGTGAAGGTAACACAGACAGACCTCAACCCCAACACTGACCTTCCATGTGCTGATTCCAGTGATCACCATTTGTAGGGATATGATTTTACTGGCCAGTCAGCCTGACATGTCTGTCATATAGCAAATGCATTTTCTTCTTTTGATAGGTTGAAGTGCGAGAAGATGAAGAACAGAAAGTTAAATTACAAGAAATTGTTGATCTGCTTGTGGCTGCAGGCTATTTTAGAGCTCGTATCAAGGGCCTTTCATCATTTGACAAGGTAACTTGTAGTTAGTGATGAACCTTACGACCTTTGAAATTTGGGATCAATGCTGTGTATATAAAACTGTGTGATGATGCAAGCAAGTACAAGTCAGAACCATTATTGCTTGAGCTGGCTTTCTCAGTACTGTACCAGCAAATCACACTGTGTGCTACCAGAGGAATAATTACAGTTTTGCTCTTTAGTGTACTGAATGCTTTAAATCTTTCCATTTTTACTTGTGAGGCCAGCTCACTTATATCTGTATTTTTCATGGTTTTGTGTGATACAGAGACTTATCACTGTGATTCCCAGAGCTACCTAGTGCTGACATATACCAGTATGTGTGGGTAACACTTGCTGCCAGTGCAACAAACCCCTTTAGTAGTATCACAATGAGGTGGAGGAGTTGGCTGGCTTCATTGTAGGGGACATCATAGAAGTAAAATCCAGAGTAGAAACAGGCATACTGACTGCGTGATGTTCCTATGTCATGTCTTTTGAAATCTGTTCCTGGTTTCTTGTGCCATAATTGTGAGAGAAGATGATGTTTCACTGTACACTGTTTCTTGACAGAGGAATTCTTAAAATTCTCTCCAGATATATTAAGGTTTTGGATCTGGTTTGGAGACAGATTGCCCTCATGTCACCAGAGTTTGAAGCACGTATCATATTTCTGTGACGCTTCTGTCAGTTTTTCTTTACTTATTATTATTTGCTTGCACTCAGTAGCTTGCACAGTTGATAAGAAATTCTTTTTTTGCAGGTTGTTGGAGGAATGACATGGTGCATTGAGACTTGCAATTTTGATGTTGATGTGGACCTTCTCTTCCATGAAAATCTCACAATTGGACAGAAAATGTATGTACCGTTTTTATTTATCTTCTGTTATGCTCTCTGGAAACACACAGAGTAGAGCTGTGGGGCATCTTGGAGTCTTCACACAGTTCACACAACAATCAACTCTTAGCATGAAGTTCTGTCTCTCTTGCTCCATGCTCTGGTAATGTGCATCAGAACGCCCCTCGTTCAAGATTTCAGTTTCAGTGGGACAGTGAAACTTAATGTCTGGAAGACTGTTCTTTGATGAATGTTGTGGATTAATGAGGCCTTGGAAGAATCTGTAGCCATCATGATCTTGTGTTCTGTTTGCAGTGCTCTTACAGAGAAAATAGTAGCTGTACTACCTGAGATGAAGTGTCCGCACCGCATCGAGCCCCATCAGATACAGGGCCTTGATTTCATTCACATCTTTCCAGTCATACAAGTAAGTAAGTGGTCGGGCTTGTGCGATTATGATGAGTTGTGTGTGACACTGTGACGTGAAGATGACAGAGCTCAGACGTTGCTACCTGTCTGCCCACCAAAGTACTCGGCACGACATCGCAGGAAACTGTAATGTTAATGTAGATTATAAGCAGTTTTTACCATAAACAGAAAACTGATTTGTTGCTCTTTACATTTATTTAGCTCTTGTAGTCATTTTGTCATATCGGTCTGCAGTTGTGCTCGTATGCAGTTTGTTCCGTGGATAGCTGGCCCCTCCCAGGGAGAGCATAGAATGAGAACAGGGTGCTGAGGATAATGTGTGGGAGCGAGAGAGAGGCAGTGACAGGAGGGTGGAGAAAACTGCATAATTAGGAGCTTCATAATTTGTACTCGTCTCCAAATGTTATTAATGTATTCAAATGATGGGGATGTGGTGGGGTTGGTCATGTAGTATGCATGGGCGAAATGAAAAATTTATAAAGTCTTGACCTGAAAACCTAGATGGAAGAGGTCGTAGATAAATATGTTGGGAGGATGAATTGAATTAATCTGACTCTGGAAAAGGACCAGTGCTGGACTGTTGTGAACACATTGATGAACCTTCAGGTTCAACGAGAGTCATACAGAAAGTAAAAACCGCTAGCACACATGCACTGCTTGCTGTCTTTGCCTGGGACATTTTATCCACCCTTCTTACAGTCTGGACCTGGCTTCAAGTGGTTTTCACTTGTTCACGCCCTTGAAGCAGTTTCTGGGCAGCACACACATGGGTATTGATGAAGAAGTGAATAAGACAGTTAAACACTGGTTCAGTGGACTAGCAGCAGATGCCTATGATGCAGGCAGTACAGAAACTTGTCACACAATCTTCATGGGGTTTATAGAAAAATTATTGAAGGTCTGTAGCAAAAAAAAACTCTGTGATTTTAGTCCGGAAGCGAATTATACCGACCGAGCGACCGCCACTTGTCGCCAAAGTTTAGTGCCAACTTTTGTGGATAGAGGGTGTTGCATGGTCAACGCAACAAATCCCCACGGCTGTTAATTTCGGTTTTATAAGGTCTGTAGTTATGATGTGAAATGAAATGTTTTAATTTTAATCACCAGTCGGCGTTTACTTTCTGGATGATCTACATATAAAAAAAGGCAGGCAGTTCCTTGTCTAGCTGAGTGATAAGTAGGACTGGAGTTAGATGTGCCCATACAGACTTTACAAACTGATATCCCTGTGTGTAGGTGTTGCCTGAATCGTCTAGAGCCAGTGCACATCCACACATTGGCTGTCCACTCAGTCTGGTGTCTGTCTTGGCCTCGTTAGAGACCGCAGTGTTTCTTTGGGTGGTGTAGAATAAATGACAACTTCCATGTATCTTTACAGTGGCTTGTGAAAAGATCGGTGGAGACCAGAGAGGAGATGGGCCATTTTGTTCAGTCATTTGGTGTGAGCCAGTTCAATAAGTTATGTCCATTGGTTGAAAAGCAGCGAGTGATGACACAGCAAGAAAACATTCTGCGAAACATCCTTACCATCAAGGTGAGCGTAAATACCAGTATCTGCTGGATTAGTGGTGGTCATTGAAACTGCCACAGGCGTGCAGAATTGGTGCGCTGACACTGTGCAATGGATAAGAGTACCAGGAAGTGCTGGGAAAGTAGATGGCAGCCGTTAGCCAAGTTCCTCCTTTGATGTATACAGGATGCCATCACATGTGGACCACACTTGCAACTGTGAAGGGTTAAAATATTTTTGTACTCAAGAACATCTGTGCCACTACCACACAAAAGCTTTCTGATATGTTCGAGACCTTCGTTAAGAAATTGTTAGTAGTATTAACACTACTTAAATTAGTAAGTAATAAGTCCTTTGATTCACTGTGTACTCTTATGTGCTTTCATAGGAAGTTTATCGACCGCAGCGTCACTTTCGCCGGAAGGATGCTCCACCTGAAGAGGAAGAGTCCTGCGTTCAGAGCACCCTCCTAGAGTATGGCTACAGCCGCACCGTTGCCGTATCTGCCGCAGCAGAACCTGTAAGTTACTTCTCTGCACACACATGGCCCATTGCTTTGCATCATTAATGTTAATATCATTATGGCCACATGAGTCCATACTCCTGCATGATAAGGATTAATCAATTTAATATACACAGTAACTTTAACATTCAAGGACCTCAACTGCTCTAATGAAATATTTTTTTTAAGTTTATTTAATGACACTTTGAGTAACTGAGTGACTGACGACTTCTCCAGAAGGAGTTAAAGAAAACAAAAATGAAAAAATATAAATATTAAATAATTAAAAATATAGAAGTAAGACATGACAGTATTGAAAAGGTATAACCAATGTACAAAGACAAAATAGGCCCTTTTGTAATGTTTCATAGTGTACCAGTGTTGCTCTGCAAATGAAGCTGACATAATAAATATGCAAAAAATATAATTTACAATATTATATTTAAGCATGCTGTTGCACTTTATACGATATATGATATAACTCCGTCCTAAGCGCAAACTATATTTATGGGTCTTTCATTTTTTCTTCTTTACACACTACATGTTTTGGCTCCAAAGGCCATCATCAGGTGTATACACTCGCGTATCTGTTACACTGCACTTATTTATAACTTTTTAAATTTAAAAACATAGGTCTTCCTGATTAGCACTTATAAAATCTTCGGCAGCGGCATGCACACAAGAAGACTACACAGAGTAAGTACAAATAACAGTATAAACACATAAGAAAACATTACGTACATTATTAGTAATACGAATATTTGTATATTACAGATAACACCTATACAATACTAGAAACAAGGAGAAGCCGCTGCATCACTATAGACATAGAGCGAATAACCCTGACATTTTTAAAATTAAAATTTAGAAAAAATGTTTAAAGGATTTCAAATTAGAACCGAAGATTTTATAAGTGCTAATCAGGAAGACCTATGTCTTTAAATTTAAAATGTTATAAATAAGTGCAGTGTAACAGATACGCGAGTGTATACACCTGATGATGGCCGTTTGGGGCCGAAACATGTAGTGTGTAAAGAAGAAAAAACGAAAGACCTATGAATATAGTTTGCACTTAGGACGGAGTTATATCATATAAAATATAATTTACTTTGAAACCCTACAGAAATGGCCCCATAACATCATTTGGCACTTATGCTTATGTTGTGATCTTTAGAAATATTGCGTTTGTCATTTTAGGGAGAGAGAGGGGAGGAGAACGGTGAGCAGATCTTCCCAGAAGTACAGGAGACACAGAGGTTGGAGGAGGTACATCACTCGTTGAAGTTGTGCTCTTTGTAAAAATGACTTTAATTTTTATTTGTTGGGTGTGTTTTAATTTTGTTTGCTGTTTGATTAGAGCTATGTTTCAGTGAGAGTAAGTAACCTGTGTGTTTTGTGCATGATTCACAGCAGCGAATTCAGACCCTGATGAAGAACATGGCACACGTGGCAGAGCAGGAGGTACATTCTCACAGCATTGTCTTTTTAAATTCTGTGCTTCACTTCACCAACTACTTTATTGTTAAGATGATGAGATGGGCTGGGCATGCAGCAAGCATGAGGAAACGATAAATATGTTTATAATTTTACTCTAAAAATATGAAGGGAAGAGACCTCTTGAGAGACCTAGGCATAGGTAAGAGGATATTATTAAAATGGATTTTAGGGAAGTTAGGTATGAGGATATGGACTGGGTTGAAGTGTTTTAGGATAGGGTCCAGTGGTAGGGTCTTGTGAATGTGGTAACAAACCTTCTGTTCCATAATAGACCAGGAATTTCTTGACCAGCTAGTGACAGTCAGCTTCACAAGAAGAATTCTGTTCCGTGGAGCTAGTGACAGTCAGTGATTTCATAATTGTAATGGAATGACAGTATTTGTTTGACACTGTCATTAGCTTACCCAACCTGTGTCTCAGTTAGCAGTTGGAGGTCAGATGCTGACGCACCGGGGCAGAACAAAATATTACATTACATCCCCTATGTCAATAGATAGATCCCTTGGATTCCTGTTGATAATTTCCTTACTCTGACATACTGCAACCTGCTAAACATGGCTGGGCTGTAAGTTGCAGAACGTGTATATTCCGCAAGTGACACTTCCAGTGGATTGGGCCCACTCTGACTGTGAAGGGCAGTGACCAGCACTCCTGCTTCATGGTTGGGAGGTCCTGGGTTCAAGTCTCAGTCCAGATACTGGCTGTTCTGCCTGAGTTCTATTGGCTTTCCTCGGTCCCTCCATGCAGATAGCAGGACGGCGCCTCAAATCAGCCATGGCCACATCCTTCCAGTTTGTGTATTGTGCTGTGAAGGTCATACCATTTGACTCTCTGTGGCCTCAAGTACTGACAGCATTGCTAATTTTTCGTTTTCCCTACTTGTGTCATTTACATATGGATACTGCTGCAGTGCGATCTGTTTTTAATGCCAACAGTAGCAGAATGCAATTTGAAATGTTAACGCGCTCTCTGTGGCAGCCGGTGTGTGGAGTGCAACAGGACTGTGTTGTCACATTCACTCTGGGGCATCCTGTGCATAGTAATTGTTACCAGATTTTGTTTTTGTTGTAACAAATATGCATGGAATTACACGCATGTGAAGTAAGGATTTGTTTAAACCATTGTTGCTACCTATGCTACCTGCTTTAATGTTAGAAAAAATCCTGCATTTTGCCTGCACAGTGTGAGTAAATGGTCACTGTGTTCCTGAAGTTCTGTAGTTGGTGGTTGTAAAGGAGGCAGTGATTTCTTATGAAGGGGAACTGAATTTATATAGGTATTGTTTAGATGAACTTCCGGTGTCAGAGTGTTGAGGATGAATGATGTAAGAAAGAGATGAATTCTCTGGTTTCAATACAATTTATGTTAAGAAATCTAAAGTGAGCAACAGGTCCTTAGCAAGTGATGAATAAGAGGTAGTGGTTCCTGGGACTTCGTCACATAGACATTTTACTTGTATTATGTGTCTCAGTTTATAAAATAAATTACATACAAATAAGTATATGTAAGTTATACATAAAATACTCCTTCCATTAGACATACAGGGATTAAAATCATATGAACCTGTGCAAATAAGTTTAAGTGCATAACTGAGTAAGTTGGTGTATAATATTTTAGAAGGAATGCAGGCCTTGACTGACAATTTCGTGTTTTTTCTCTGTCTCTCATCAGCACTGTCAGATGTTTCAGGATAACCCCCTTCAAAATTCTCACCTACTTATCATTTATGTTCACCTTGAAACCAATGTCTTCTCATCTGCTGTCCAAAAGAATAAAAATTAGAATATACAAAACAATAATTTTGCCTGTGGTTGTGTTTGGGTGTGAAACTTGGTCTCTGACATTAAGGGAGGAACATAGACTGAGGGTGTTTGAGAACAGGGTGTTGAGAATATTTGGACCAAAGAGAGATGAAGTCACAGGAGTTTGGAGAAAACTGCATAATGAGGAGCTTCATAACTTGTACTCTTCTCCAAGTATAATTAGAATGATCAAGTCAAGGAGGATGAGGTGGGCAGGTCATGTAGCACGAATGGGGGAGACGAGGAATGCGTATAGGATATTGGTGGGAAAGCCAGAAGGAAAGAGACCACAGGGAAGACCAAGGCGTAGGTGGGTGAACAATATTAGAATGGATCTTAGAGAGATAGGATGGGATGGTATGGATTGGATAGATCTGGCTCAGGATAGGGACCAGTGGAGGGCTCTTGATGAATGATGAACATTCGGGTTCCATAAAATGCTGGGAAATTCTTGAGTAGCTGCAGAATTGGCGGCTCCTCGAGAAGGGCTCAGATCCATGAGTAAGTAAGTACCATATTTGGTACCCTGTAACCTCAGCAGTTGAATCAGAATTATTAAATAATGTAAGAAACAGCCATCGTATAATACTGTACAGATGTAGGAAGCTGACTGCCACTTCTGTTTGCAGGGCCGCCTGACTGCAGGCGTTGTTGGTAATATTGTGAGCTTGCAAGCTCAGGAAATTGCTCAAGCAGCCGAACGATACGCAGAATTGCAAGCTGAGCTAGAAGTAAGTATTTTCTGAGTTCTGTACACAATTTATATCTTATTAATTTGATTTCCCTATATGAACTGCTGACAAAATGGGTGCACAGTGTTTGTTGTAATTGAGCGCTGATATTTTTGGTCTGAATGTAGACATGGATAGGAGTTCCAAGCAAACAGATTTTCTTTTTATTTGACTGCCCTGTGAGAAGGACTGTTTGGAAGATCAGAGTGGAATGTATCATCACCTTTGACAGTTTTGCACAAACTGAAGACGCAGTGGGAAAATCATGTTCATCTGTGCAGGCACATGTCATCACTGATGCTAGTAAACACATTTCGATGGTAGTTGGTACTGTGGGGTTTCCGTGTTGAAAGATGTCACCCAAATTTAATTTGGATTTGTGGTGCTCAGGTGTAACTCATATTTTATATAAGAGGCTGAATTCAGGCTTTATTAGGTTTCTCATTATCTTCTTTCTATGTGATGAATATTTGTAATAATAGTCAAAGTTGCCCAGTGGTTGAGACTGTCTCATTCCAGTGACCACATCACACTGGTCGCCCCCTTTTTGCCCAGCGATGGAACCAGCTTCTAAACCTTGTGTTTAGAATAAAATTTAGAGAGAGCATAATAGAGAATATCTAGGGTATTAACACTGATGAGGTGTGTTGGGTTTGAGCCACATCAGCAATTAGACTTGACCATTTGCAGCATAGGTGGCCACTGCCATGTGACATTCAGTGTTTGCAATCCTTGAGCAGGGTAAAGGAGGCGCCTCTCCGTCTAGTCATGCGAGAGCCCTAGCAGCACTGGGCAAACAGAAGGCTGCCCTCACGGAACAAGAGCTGAGGCTGAAGAAGGAGAGGGCATGTTTGGAGACAGCGATTGAACAGGAGTCATTGCAGCTGCGACAGGTGTGTGCAGTTCGCGAGCAGGTGGACAAGGAGCTTAAAGACATGGAGTCTTTGGAGACTGAGGAAAACCAAGGGTATGGTGTATTTATGTGAAAGTGGTAGTGCAGACAGGATGATAGTGATAAGGAAGGAAGCCTCTGTGTGTCAACTTGTTCGTTTTGTTTTGTGCAGGATATTGCAAAAGCTGCAGACGCTTGTGGTACTGGATGAGAGCCTGAAGCAGCAGGATGTGCAGTTCCGAGATCAGTGCAAATTGGAACTTGGGAAATTGCAGAAGCTGGTCAAGTGAGTGCCACTGTTTCATCTTTTTGTATAGAAATGTGTCTGTTAAGCATAGAGGGACTTGTAGAATGTTGCAGACATATTTCATTTAACAAAAATTCAGCTGCACTGAAAATTATAGTAAACTCTCACTATACCTTACAGCCTCTTAAAACAAATGTCATTGTTTTTGCCAGCATTGTTTGGCTGATTTTATTCTCAGCGTCAGTGTAAGTCATAATCCTTGTGTTAACGTCTACTGGCCATGCGCACAGTGTATTTGGCCAAGTACTCTGTTCCATCAGCGCTGTTGCCCCCCCAAACTAAATTATGGCTACCAGCACCTATGGTGCCAGGAGATTTAAAATCGCTAGACCCAGATGATGCCAAACTTGAATTTTCTGTTTCATGTCATCTCCAACAGATAAAATACATCAAAATTCAGTAAACTCTATAGAAGACTATAAAATTAGACAGTACATTGTTGTCACATGGTATTAGGCAACTAATTTCCAGACGCTAGTTCATCTGTTTGTATTGTTGCAAGTTCATTTCCTCAGGTTGCCATTTTTTAATATTAAATGACTATATGCCCCACAGTTGTATCCAGCAGATACGTTTGCATGTCTCTAATGAGGAAATTATTGTGGCTACTTCCGTGTGTGATGTCTGTACAATTCGTTCTCCCTGTTTCCACTGCAGGGATGCACAGGAGAGTGCTACACCAGATAATGACACTGATAATGTGTCAATACAGTTTGAAGAGGAACAAGATCGTGTTCAGAAACTACGTCTTCTGCTGGCTAAACGAACCCGATCAATTGCTACACTGCAGAGGCAACTGGATGAGGTACCGGGTCGTGCGGAGCTGGCACAGTATCAGCGCCGGTTCTTAGAACTTTATAATCAGGGTAGGCGCTAAGTTACAGACCTTCAGTGATAACTGTGATGCTGGCTGTTAAATCTGCTCTTGAAATTAAGATTCTTCACAAGTGATTTCATTGATATCCGTGCACACTGTAACATCTCTGCTCTGAGTTAGCTTTTGGTATGTTCAGTATAGTCCCTGCATAAAAGTGTTCAGAAGGAACTGGGATGCCTCATGAGCTGAACCTGCAGCATAGTAAGAGGGGAGGGGGAACAGCAATAGTGCAGCTCTGAAGCTGGGGTCCCTTGTTCTTCAAATTTATTTTTGAAGAGGGACTGACTCACACTATACTGGTGCTATGCTCACATTTTGGTTTTGTGCTGTGTTACAGCTACCAGACTACATGGTGTCACCATCCAAAAGACTGTAACCTAAGAACAAATAAGATTGATAGTTTGCTCATTTTCAATATAATTATTTTCTGCGATGGCAGTTTAGTGTATCTGAACTAAATATTCCATCTTTTATTCTTTGGTTACCTTTTTCTTTTTCAGTGGCTGCCAAACATAAGGAGACCAAACAGTTTTATACTTTGTACAACACACTGGATGATAAGAAGTTATATTTAAGCAAAGAATTAACATTACTGAACTCCATCCTGGACAACTACACAGAGTGAGTGCCAGTAAATGTTCACTGCACGGTTGCCTTATCAAAAAAGAGGTTTTACATTTCCTATAGAATTCTGCAAGAGCAGTTTGTATTTTCACGTGTAAGGGGGCATGCATGATGAATAACGGGTTATAGATCGGATCATTGGATTTATTTACACTTAGGTAACAGTCTCTCTTAATTACAATCAATACAGCGCTATCGGTGATTCACACACTCTCCAGTTCACCGTTGCACACACACACACACACTAGGATTCTCAGTTTCCGCTAGTCATCTCCTGGCAACAGATCTCAACACAGAAACTATCACTTCAAATCATTGTGAAGTCTTCTCCTCATACAGTCTTGTACCTGGGTTAAGATACAAACGGTAACACTCATGTTGTTCTGCTGTGTATATATAGACCAATTAGAATTGTGGTATTCTTTGTTTTGAAGGGCCATGTCGTCGACAAGTGGTAAAGAGCAGTTTATGAAGCAATTTGACGCTATTGTTGAGGGCATCAAGCAAAACAAAGTGAAAGTGAGTACCAGTGAGAATAAACCCAACTATTTCTCTGAACATGGTACCCATGGACACTGACCAAGTGCCTGAGTTGTGATAATGAGGACAACAAGGGAAGGGTTGGGGTTTAAATCCAGTCCTGAGAGTATATGGTTTCAGTTTTTTTTTTTGCACATTATCAACAAAAAACTGCAAAAATAAACCTTTTGGCTTTGCCTTATATGGCTGTTTGCATATAACAACATCACAATTGCTGTGTAGATATTACTGAAATTTAGTTTGGGGGCAGTTTTTGTCAATTTTGTCTGCCTATTCCAGTTTTGGTTCAAATCAGGCAAGAGTAATGCGCACTCTGCATGGAGATGTACATGCGTTTCTGTGCCCATTTTGGGCCTAAGCCACTAAATACCAGAGTGTGAAATGTTTTGAAGAAAATGTTGGAGGAAAAAATAAAACAAAAAGTTATGTCCAGTATAGTTTTTCTTAAGTTTTACAGTTTTGAAATAAATTAAACCTAAGAGTGTAATTTTCAGAATTTTTACTCCCTGCATTCATTTCCTAACTTATTGGGGTTTACTTGTTGCATGCTGTTGTATTATTAGTACACTGATTTTTAAGGAGGATAGTTAAAGTATTGAATGATGATTTAAAGAAGTAAATACTCTGTTGTTCCAGCATGTTCAGGAGTAGAAACTTTTTTAAAATCCAGTTTCCAGATAAGAGGGTGGGTCCATATTTTCAGGCCCCTCTGCTCTGCATGCAAGAATAATTTCTCCTCATGGTGGTGTAACTGTTCTAAAAGCTCATGTGCCACACGTGACATAACGGCAATTGAATCAAATTTAAATATCTCAACCCCTGAACACTGAGAGGGAAATTCGTTGCCATTGAAATTTGTTTGCCACTTGTGTCCAGGCAAACACATTAGTTTACCGCTTGGAAATATTGGCTTTCACTGAAGGAACTAAAGTACCTACTGTAATTTATTTTTGTTCTTAATGCCATTCCCTTAACACTTCTATGGATTGTGAACTTTTGTATTCTGTCGCAAGATATAGAGGTACTAGGATCAAGATAATCCCACCTAAAAAGGAATTCATGTAAGACCCTATTTCTGACATCAGTACCTGTGCAAAAATAAGTAATTTTTAGTAGAACTTCTCATGGCTTCCAAAGCAATGCATTGAGAGGTTTAATAGAATATATGACACAAACTCCGTCTTAAGTGCAACAATTTATTATACAATAGAATACAGTACTACAATAAATTGTTGCATTTAAGACAGAGTTTGTGTCATATATTGTGTAAGTGTAACAGGATGCTTACATATAATATAGGTTTAATAGAGTTTAACACTAAGAGAACCGGACACAAAAACGTCTAAATTTGAATGGTTAACACATTCCTAGTAGAGCACTATCAGGACAGTAAATAATTTCGGTATCAGTAAACTCACATTTCAAGATCTGCCAATTAATAATGTTGTACAGATGGTGCAAAAGTGGCATTACAGTTTTAAGTCCAGTTGTGAGTTGTCAAGGCAAGTCTTTTTTTTTTCGGGGTTCGCTAGTCCAATAGCACTTGATTAACCAGTGAATTTATCCTACAAGCAACAGTGTCCATCAGAAACATGAACTGTTTATCTGCCATGTGGTAGCCAGTTTTAACTGCTTTTAAAATGCATGGCGTACAGTATGCAGGTAGTCATAAACTGTATCATTACTTTTGCACCATCCTGTATGTCACTCAGAAGGGGTTGTCTGTGTTTCAACAAACTGTAAGCACTGTTCACTGAAAACTATGTTAAGAACATTTCATTGTATTCCCAATTGTAACTTAAAGCACTTTGTTGCCCCTTGAAGGTAGAACACAGGCATAGTGAGGAACATCAGCGCCGAGACAAGTTGAGTCACGAGCTGTTGGGATTAGTAGAGCAGCAGCGTCGGTATGTGGCCGCTGTGAGACAGCTCACCATTGAGTGCCGTCGTAATGAAGCTATGCTTGCCCGGCTTCGAGGAACGTAACTTCTGTCCATAAAATGTTTGTCACAAATACTACTCAGTTAATGGAAATATACTCTCTAAAGGATGGAAATGTTAGTCATTCTGTAAGAGTGAGGTATGAATGTATGAGGAGTAGGCCTTCTCAGCCCTTGCACCACGACCTACAGTGGTCTGTTGTGCTTCCCAAGAGTGAGGTATCTTGTTAGGTAACATTGCCTGCATATGTATGTTTGCATACTTTATATTTGTGTGTCAATTTGGCCGTACTCTACAAGGCTAAAGTAGGATTATATTTGTATAATAAATGTGTTATATTAATGCTTTCCAATCAAGTTTATTTCTGACCTCACTCCTATCAGCTGCAAATTATTGTGTGTGCAAATTAAAAGAAAAAGACAGTTTGGTGTGAGAAAATTTAAACTTCCTGTCATTTCCTGTTCTGTACACATACTGCTAGAAGATATACCAAAGAACATGAAAAACAAAGATATAACAGTCAGCATGCAGTCATAACATAATCAGTTTTCTAGTGGTACCATTTGTTTGTCATGTATTTAACTTTTATGATAAGGCAGCTTTTTCTTAATTAGGTGCCATGACATGATGTATGAGGCAGTTAAGGTATAGTGGTACCATTCTTAACCTCAGCACTGTATGGGAATGGTTGTTTCTGTAATCTTGAGGAAGCTGGGTGGGCATCAGAGGTGGTCTGGATGCTGTGGAGGAATGAAAAATCTCTTGGCTCTGCCAAAAGTCAAATCATGATTCCTCAGTCATTCAGCCTGTCACTATGCAGACAGAGCTACTCGTTTTTAATGTCGTGAAAAGTCCAGGATTGCAAGCATACTATCAGGTATTGTGGTGTAATGGACAGAACAGGTTCAGCACTGAGGAATGACAGATTTAGATTGTCATGCAAAGTCACTTTGGGTTTCTTTTATTTGGAAGGGTTGCTAGAATTGCAACAATGTGTTTAGAAATTAAAAATCCAGCAAGTATAAAATGGGAACTATTTTCACGCCATGTAAAACAAGTCAGTGAATGAATAGTATGTCCAGGTGCTTGTTATCGCTTGTAATGGCGTCAGAAATTTTTCCAACCACAGCCAGTGGGTACTAGGGACCGACCCCTTTTGCAGTCAAAAATGGTTATTGGATTAGGTGGTGACAGTGATAAGAGACGATGAAACGTAGTTTTAGGTTATATAAATGTTAACACATTTATAGTGAGAGAGGCTCTCTCGGTCGCCCATTTGTAGTTTCCCTTTTTTCCCAGGCACCCAAAAGTTACCCAAGGTTTGCGAGTTCGCCATATTTTCGAAACGTGAGTTTAGCGCGCATTTAAAGATGAAATTAACTCATTCGTCCCTTGTCGTTCACGTGATATGGTGGCAAGTTTGGCTGACCAATGAAAGTGCAGAAACTGGTCGTTCAGTTCACTGGTATTAATGGTAAAGTAAAGTTGAATTGGCTAAGAGAGGCAAGAGGTGCACATTATGGTTCTCGTAATTTTTTAATAGACTCATACGATTGCTGTTGATGGTAAGCGAAATAAACTGTTATAATGCATTGTTTAGACTTGCCGAACATTTTTAAGGTCTTAGTGTGACCGAAACGGAAATATTTTTCTTCGTTGCTATCCGTCTCCGTTATGCATTCTTATTGTTTGTTTCGATGTAATAGAATCGATTACAAGTCGATAATAGCTAAATGGACGTGTGTAAGGCATTAATCTTTTCAGACGTAGACAGTAAAGTAATATAAGAAAACGTAAGATGAAGTTCTGTAATTGTATGCATGAATGCACTACTTGGTTAATTTGGGAATTGTACTCTGCCGGCCCTTCCGCCTGCATATTAATCTTCTGGATTTTTTCCTTTACTGTTTCTAACCCCCCTCGAAATATTTACTTTCTTTTTTGGATTCATGAGGGTTACGTAGATGTTGGTGTTTTGTTAAACCGACTTTATTCAGGCGAATATGATGTAGTCGGTATTGCTTAAATTTAAATCTCATGGTGCAAAATACTAGCATCCTATGCTGACTTTTCCAAAGGTTCAGAAAGATAGAGCCCAAGCAATTTAACATGATTGATCACTGTCAGTTGTAACCTTTCCAGCCCTGCTGTATACTCCAAAGCAGCATATTCTTGGCCCACTGTACTTTCCTGTAAAGTATGAAAATTAGAAATTTTACCTGAATTTCAAAAAGGTTTTGAGCATATCTGAAGGGTACCACCTTCTGGAATGTAATACCATGTAGTCCAGTAAAGATTCAGAGACATTTGGAGGAACAGATTGCCCCCCTGATGATGTAGGCAGCATCTTCCTCTGGAAGAGTGAATTTCTGCAGAACTACACAGCATTACATCCCAGATGATAATAGGCTAAATAGTCACCGCTGCAAGAATCTCCAATCCAACATTTCAGTTCTGTTTTCAGAAAACTTTCATGAATTTGTAAAGCAAGAAGAGAGCAATCCAAGAACATTGTGTATTTCAGAATTTTACCCTGGTATTTGCCAGCGTTACTTTCTCTTATGCAGCATGCATGTTAATTATTATTAGAACCTGTGTCAACCTGTGCTTGGATTTACGGAATGTAAATAAATTAAACTTAAAATTTTTGAGACATTGCAGTGAGCTGAGATGAATCGGGTGGTATGGTGACTTAGCTGCAGATGGTCTCCAACTTTCTGCCTAAGAGAGTTCTGGAACCTATCCAGGCTTGTGTGCAGGAGGTGAATGTTAAATATGGCCCAAGCATGTATGTCCATTTATCCCAAGTGTTGAAATATACAGACATTTATCTCAGAATGCACATGTGGTTTCACAGTATGCTACATTCACAGGAATTCCCTACTGAAATTCAAATTTCCTTAGTTACACTACACTGTCCAGGCCTTCCATTAAGAAAGCTTTCTTTTCAGACAAAATTTGTCCACATAGACATGTCATAGCATTGGGGAATTATATAACAAGACCCCAACCATCCACAGGATCACATGTCTTTCTTGGGCCATCTCTCCTTTATGGGGAACTTACTTTGTAGTACTACTGTACTTCTGTGGATTCCTTAAAAGATGAGATCAGAAAAATTATCCGACAGTGCTAAGGGATGGTAATTTTTGTGAAGTTCATTCCTACAAATTCTCTGTATAGTTTTACTTCCGCTCACCTTACCGGTCTTCATGGTGTGACATGTTAAAATACCTTCATGCAGCATCAGATGGTAGGATGATGGTAGATAATGATTGCAGAGGATGTGGAAGGAAACGATCATGGCCTAATTGGAGTTACTCTCCTGACATCTGCCTGGAAGCACTGAGAAAACCCGTTGAAAATTGCAGTCTGCAGAAGCAGTGTCATTTGAGCAAACATCTCATCTGGGTGTAATTCCAAGTAATCCCATAGAGAATTAATGCCTTTGACTCATTATTTGGTGAGTTGAAACACTTGCACAATATGTAACAGACATGTTGACACACACAGTGACCTTTGGCCTGCAGTATATTGTGTTACACCCTATATGTAAGTGTAATTTCACCGAGTTCCTGCTTAATAAATTCGGCAGTCTGCAGTGACCTGCAAATATGTAAGTGCTTTAACCCTCTGAAGCACACTATCACCTATTGTAACATTAAAATGCTTTGCAGTTTGTCAAGATGGTGTATTTATATGTTTTGCATGATTCCCACAGTAGACAACAACTGAAGTAGATGATGTGTTGTGAATGGGGTAGGAACTGAATTCTTACACAATATCATTTGAATGAACTTCTGACTCCAAAGGGTTAAAGGCCAATACTTTATTTCATATCTGTTTGTTGAATCAACTCTGTTCTGGTTCGCTTCACTCCCACTAGTGACGCAAAGACAGCGTACATCTATTTGATTGCAGCTTTATAGCAATATATCTCCATCTCTTGTCTGGGTTAGCAGGTTATCCTGTTGCTGTCTGGATATTTGGAAAGATGGCAAATGTTTTGGTGATTGGTAATGGTGGAAGAGAACATGCAATTTCTTGGAAACTGGCTCAGTCAGAAGAGGTATGATTCTCAAAGTTTCATTTAACTTAGGCCTGTATAAAGAAAGCAGTCTTCTGGGATTTGGCACCGTGTATATGTGGTGTTAACCGACGTTTCGGAGGAACGTATCGCCTCCATCTTCAGGGTAGAAGAAAAANGCCTGTATAGTTTCATAAATCTGAAGATCTGACAAAGTCCCAATAATGTGTCATGTTCATAAATCACTGACTGTAGAGATGAGAATGATTCTTAGAGTTTGTGCTGCTGCTGTGTAACTCCCTTCAGAAGCTAACAGTGGCTCACTTACTCAAAAATTTCCCCACATTTATGGAACAAAAATTTTCATTACTGTGTTGATAAGAGCCTGCCATTGGACGTTCTCCTGAGCCACATGAATGCAATCAACTTTGTCAACTGTGTTTCATTGTTTCAGGGGGTATGTATGAAAGTTGCCATTATGACAGTGGCTTGAACAATTTATGTTGTAGTAGAGATCAGAATGGATAGCGTTCGCTACACCTACACTTCTTTCTGTTACTATGTCAACTGTCATAATATGTATTTCACTGTACTTTTAAGAAAGCATAAACATTATGATTTAGTTAGTTAGTTATTAGAGAGGGTGTGGTTCCCCATGCACTGAGACCTGTAGTGGTCCATTGTGCTTCCCTCTATGATTTCTACCAGCCTCTATATCCTACCGGTACTGGTGCTTACCATCAGTCCCGCCCAGCCAGCGAGACCGGCTCTACTGGCTGAGAAGTATCTATAATGCTTCCCCCATCTACCGGAGCTATTAGTGACTGCTGTTGGGCGGCAAACGTCCGCAATTTTGCTCAGTGACCTCCTTTGGAGGTATGAGGTTCTTTTACGTGCCGTGAAGCTACAACATGGGACCCACGGCTTAAAGTCCCTCCCGGAGGACTTGTTCCCTGAATTTTTCCACCCTTAAAAATTCGACGACCTCCGCCGGGTATTTGAACCCGCGTACTACGAGTCATGAGGTGGGAACGGTACCTCTAGACTACGGAGGCCGCTACATTATGATTTAAGTTATACTTCTGCACTTACATTTTCAATGTCTCTTTTACATAACATCATAAGTAATTAATTATAAAAGAATTTTAGCTTACTTTGTTTTCTATAGCTTGTATAGGGGGAAACACATCATCATCATCATCATCATCATCAGTAATCTGTCAAGACGACAGGTCCACAGTCTCTTTCAAAACAATTCCTCCACTTAATGCGATCTAGAGCTTTCTCCTTCAAATGACAGTATCCTCTTCTGTCCCCAAGGTCATCCAGCATCTTCTTACGTCTTCTTCCTCGTCTTCTTGTCACTTCTATCCGCCCATCTATCTTTCCTTCGATAGCTTCTTTTAGAAGGCAGTTTCTGCGTAAAACATGACCAATCCAATTAGCCTTCCGTTTTCTTATTTCATGTAGGATATTCCTCTGCTCACTGACTCTAATTAACACTTCTTCATTTCTCACATAATCGGTCCAACTGATCTTCTCCATTCTTCTCCAACACCACATTTCGAAACTTTCCAGATGTTTCTGATCTACTGCCCTAAGTGTCCATGTTTCAGCCCCATACAGAGCTATGCTCCAAATGTAGCATTTCACTAGTTTCTTCCTCAAATTTAAGTCCAATTTGCTGGTAAAAAGATTCTTCTTCTTGCTAAATGCAGCTTTTGCCATGGCAATCCTGGATTTAATTTCACAAGTACACCTTCCATCATCTGTTAACAAGCTACCCAAATATTTAAAACATTTCACATTCTCCAGTTGTTTTTGGTCTATCTTTATTGTGACTGGGGTTGGTTGTCTCGAAATTTTCATTACTTTTGTTTTCTCCACATTCATTTCCATGCCATAGCACCTTCCAATTTCAATTAGTCTATCAATCATGCCCTGTAGCACAGTTTCTTCCTTAGCCATTAACACAAGGTCATCTGCATATTTCACAGTTTGAATAATTTGCCCTCCTACTTTGAAGTCACCGAGCCCATCCAGAGCTTCCTTGGTAAGGCATTCGCTGTACAAGTTGAACAGAATTGGTGATAAACAGCATCCATAGAAACAGAAATATTTGATCCCATTGAATTTCATTGTACAGAGGTCTTACTGTAGTTTGTTCATGTTGTCATTTCTGATAGCTTAATTATTGATTTCAGGTCAAGCAAATCTATGTGTGTCCTGGAAATGCTGGAATATCTCAAGTTAACAAAGTGACATGTGTGACACTGAATGTCAAGGACTATGAGGTATGCTTTACTGTATGTGTCAAAGCCATATGTTTATGAAATATATGTGTTGCTGAAACCTTTAACCAGTCCACTTGCTCTTAAATTGACTTACTCTTTGACACAAGTACTTCCCTGAGCTTACATTTTCTTCACTTAAAACATTCCCTGTTGCTACATATCAGCAACATAACTGAGGTTCATTACTCCTTCTCCAAGGTCCACCATATGACCCACTTCTAAGCTAGGTCATTGCAGTTTATATTCTTGCAGCCTGTACCTTTGAGATGTATTTCAGTATCATCAAACTCTCAGTGTTATGAATGCTTTCTCTCAATGGGCGCTCATTTCATATACAAATGGACCTCTAAGGATCTTGTTTCCAGCTGTCAGCTGGTATTAGAGTTACCAGTTTTGTGTCTAGCATTTTGGCTTTTACAAATGGTTTGGGCCCTACAAAGTGTATTCAACTGATGCTGCTATTTTATATCACTTTTATGTCTGGACGTTCCACGCAATTTTTTTAGTTCCATTCATAGGGTCTTAATGACAGGCTGCCTGTACAGTCCACTGTGTTTATATTAATTTAACATACAGCTGATTTAAAAATTTCCTAGCAGTTTTACCCACTACGTTACTTTCAGATCACTTTACATCCTTTAAAAAGTAAAGGTTTCCCTGTAACAGGCCGTGGAGGCCCGTGGGGTTGTGAGATGTTGAAGCTCCCACATTTTCTATAGACAGTCGGCTCACAGATGGCAGTGAGGTTGTCAGCCTTATGCACTGGCCGCCATTTTCCCCCAGGAAGATCCCTGGTACTCATTTCTGTTAGAGGCTGAGACTTTGCATCATGACAGACATATATTGCATTTACTGTTTATTGCATTATGGATCTATATACGAATTTTAGACAGGCAAAAATAGCCCTAGAGGCTGTTCCGCCCATAAATTCCCCTCTGGTGCACAACGGTGGTACTGAAGGTAAGCAGTTTGTAGCTCACGATGGTTGAACATGTTTCAGTATAACAAGTGAAGTGTGCTGAGCAACGGGGAGCCATCTCACTACTTCATAACTTCTTTCCTATGCCTGTTTGTTGGGAGTACATGTTTTCTTTGTAGGCTGTTGCTTCATGGAGTAAAGAAAACAATATAAGTCTTGTAGTGGTGGGACCAGAAGATCCCCTAGCAGGTGGCATCGCAGACGTGTTGCGTGCACATGGAGTGGATTGTTTTGGCCCAAGCAGAGCGGCTGCTCGTATTGAAGCTGACAAACACTGGGCCAAGAGTTTTATGGACAGACATGACATTCCTACAGCAAGATGGGGTGCTTTCACATCGGCTGATGAAGCTAAGGCATTTATTGCAAGGTATGACATCTTTTGAGTCCATTCAAATTTATTTTCCACATATAAATTATCATTCCATTTTGGTACCTCTGCTGGTCTCAGTGGCTTCACCATTTTAATGCACATTCCGTCTCTGTCTGCTTGAACACTGGGATTGGATCCTGTCCCATGTTTTTCTGTATTTATATTGTCTTGTGTAGGTATAGGGCCTTAGGATGCGTCAGTCTCCTGTTCAAAGCATCCTCCCAAATGAAAAAGGATTTGTAATTTCAGAAGTTAATTCTGAATTTAAACAGGCCTATTTTCTTAATCCATAAACTTGAAGACAAAGACTTGGTAAAACCTGAACACTTCATAATTTGAATATAAACAGTTGCCTTGCTGAGTGAGTTGTGCAGTAACTGGCCAGCCATGACTGGAAATGAATAGCCTCGTGATGTAGTTTGTTTGCTAAGCTGTAATTAGCAGTTGGTGCTTTTGTATCTGGCACTAAAGTTACATATTCTGAAGTGAGCAGAAAGGTGAAAATTTTACTCCTTTTGAAGTACTCTTTTTACTTGAAGATTACCGTCTTCTGGTACCTGACACTAATTTCGCTTAGTGAAGGGTGGAGTCCAGCTGCGTCCACATGGCATGGCGGCCACTGATGGGCCTATTGTACCTGCCCCAGGTGATTATGTTGGAGAATTTGGTGGAATGAAGATTGGCAAGGGAAACCGAAGTACTCGGAGAAAACCTGCACCAGCACCACTTTGTCCACCACAGATCCCACTTGACCAGACCCAGGATCAAACCTGGGCCGCCGCGGTGGGAAGCCAGCAACTAACCGCTTGAGCTATAGCGCTGCCTTTACCTGATACTATATAGTCCATTTCATTATTACCAACATTTCGGAGGAACATGCTGCATCCATCTTCAGGGTAGCAGTATGTAGTTTCAGGAATGTGTGTGAGTTGGTATGCACACACAAAACTACACAATGTCACAACCCAGGAGACCACAGTGTTATCATCACCATGCAGACTGCAGCACTGATATGTGTTAACATGGATGTAACAACAAATTACTGAATTACATAAAACCTCTTGCATACCTTGCTCTTGGTGTTGTGTCTCGGTTATCTGGCTGCTGCCAACCCCTTCCCCCCAAGCCCCTAGCTCTAAACAGTGAGGGAGTGCTATCTAAAATAAAGTAAGTAACAAATAAATATATACTGCATGACAAAAAATAAAGTTTCAAATGACTGCTTCAGGAAAACACACAACAAAATATTTTTGCTGTGTTCTTCTTCAGCGCCAGTTTCCCGGCATTAGTCGTGAAAGCAAGTGGACTCGCAGCAGGGAAGGGAGTTGTGGTAGCATCTTCACAGTCGGAAGCATGCAACGCACTGGACAGCATTCTGACAGATCACAAATTTGGAGCTGCGGGGAACACTGTCGTCGTAGAGGAACTGCTGGAAGGAGAGGAAGTGTCGGTGTGTATTCTGTTTGATTTGAGTTCCAGTAGATGTCAGGAAATGTTGCTCTTGGTACCTGATTGTCTTATTTTGTTGCTGTATTGTGTTCTCACGGAGCAAGTTGGTTCACAGAGGAATTCTTCTGATTTGAATCTGGGAAGTACCCATTTCAGATCTCACCCACAGGTTGTCTTGTTGCATTCTGTGCTTTTCCCCACTCCCTCCAGGCAAATGCTGGTGTAGTACCTGAAATTGGACCACAGTTGCTTCCTTTCACATCCTTTCCAATTTATTATTTGTTAACAGTGCTACTGTTTGGCACTGCAGTCTGAAATGCTGACAGTATTGCTGAATACAGAACAAGTGAATAAAATATATGCCTTTCTTGCATGGAGTACATAAAATGACGTAAAGGCTAGGTATGTCTTTACTGAACGTTTCATTTCCAAAACTACTTACCAGATTTTGATTAAATTTAGTATTTGAAGATTCACTAGAAATGTGTGTTTTATGGGGACTGGAAGTGCAGGAATGTTTAGCGAATTCTGGGGTTTGTTGCTGTGAGACGTCCTGTTCTTATCCAATACTTATTATTATTATTATTATTTAGAGATGGTGGGTTTCCCCATGCACCGCGACCAGTTTGATCTATTGTGTTTCCCTCTATGATATTCTACCAGTCTCTATACCCTACCGATAAATGGTGCGTACCATCAGTCCCGCCGAGCAAGCGAGTTCGGCCACTTGGTTAGCGGTGTCTATAATGCTTCCCCCATCTATCGGAGGCCATTGTTGGGCGGGAAACGTCCTGGAATTTGGCTCAGTGATCCCCTTTGGGGATATGAGGTTCTTTTACGTGCCGTAAAGTTACGACACGGGACACACAGCTTAAAGTCCCTCCCGGAGGACTTGTTCCCTGAATTTTTCCGCCCTTAAAAATTCGACGACCTCCGCCGGGTATTTGAACCCGCGTACCACAAGTCATGAGGTGGGAACGTTACCTCTAGACTATGGAGGCCGCTTTATCCAGTACTTAGTTCAAGAGATTCAGGTGCATATGTTACAGACAGAACACATCAGCAGACTTCGTGTTTGTGCTGTATGTCCCAGTAGAAGCGCACTCGAGACATCATGAAACGGAAGACTCAGATTCGACAGACCTTCAACACTGGACAGTATTAATATAATTTAAAAAGAGGGGATGAGTACTAATTTTGTAAAGTTGTATCACATTATTTGCAGTCTGTATAATGACTGAAGCACTTCTTTGTTGTGTAGGTTCTCGCATTTGTGGACGGATCAAATATAAGTGTCATGCTTCCGTCACAAGATCACAAACGTCACATGGATGGTGATACTGGGGCAAACACAGGGGGTATGGGTGCGTACTGCCCCTGTCCTCTGATTACAGAGTCTGATTTAGCCGCAGTTACAGACACAATCCTCCAGAAAGCAGTAAATGGCCTGAAGATGGAGAAATCTCCATTCATAGGTAAGATCTCATACAAGGTCACAAAAACGAGGCCAGTCTCGCATAATATCTTAAAAGTGTTCTATATTTCAGCCTCACATCTCAAAGTATTACATTCAAAGCAAAGTTGATAGTTTTGACAAAACATTTACATCAAGCCATTAGGTCATTCTGACATCGATCTGTTACAAAACTAGGAGTATGTTGCAGGGTAACTGACTATACATTGCTGACATTACCGTGAAACTCATTCAGTGGTAAGAGACAGACATTGCTGGAAAAAATAGTCTTAATCATTTGTAGTGAAGAAGAGAAACGTTTATTTAACCCATCCACTGAAGGTTACAATTACAATCTTCTATCATGTAGCGTAGTTCTGGAGGAACCATCCCCCCCCCCCCAAAAAA